AATTAAATTCACTTAAAAATTGTCTGACCCCATGTTATAGACTCTTCAGTAAACCAGATAAGAACATGTCAAATCCTCACTTAAACAAATCAAGCTAATTCAGCAACCCATAAGTGATCAAAATTCTATACCATGTTAACAGTATTAAAAACGAAAGATTTCAAAGTCTTTCAAAACATCCAACCCATATAATTCTTTACAGTACAAAAAATATTAAAGATTTCTAAACCCACCTTTTCTTCATCCTTGGTTGCTATGGCTGAGGAGGTGAGGCTCTCAAAGGGGTCGCTAGAAACAGACACCAGAGGTAGGCCGTCGTCTGAGGAGGATGTTTTGGGGGTCTTCTCCTCCCCCAATGAGGTCCCCGGGGTCTGGTCACCGGACGGTGACAATTCCGACAGCACCGCTTCATCGTCCACTCTGATGCTGATACGACCAGCTGATGTTTCGTACACTTCTCTTTTAGTTCTTGAATCTACTTTCTCTTTCACTTTCGTTTCTGTATTTTCTTCTTCCAAATTGTCCTCAAATGAATCTAACTTAAAAATCACTTTGGAAGTTTCTGTGGCCAAATTTTCACTTTTGTCTGAATTTTCTGTCACTGATGGGTAATTTTTGGTGAAAATTTTACTTTTGGGGGATGTGGGACCTCCTAGCGCCTCTAAATTCATATCACTTTTCACTCCAGTATAGGATAGCAAGCTCTCATTACTTATACTCCCTAGAGACATTAAAGATTTTTCTGTCCTCTCTAATAAGTTCACATCACTCTTGATACCAGTGTACGACGATAAACTTTCACTGCTTATACTGGTCACTGACAGTACAGATTTATCTGCTCTTGGCATGCTCTCCCCCTCCCTGGCCCCATCCCCCGCCCCCTCACACTCGGGGGAGGAGAGGTTGTAACTGGCCTCCGTCGTCGTCGATTGCGTCGGGGATGAGGTGTCCGAGGGAGATGACCCAGATTCCTCCATACTGTCCTCTGTGGTGTCAAAGTTAAAAATAGACTGTTGAGTGATGGTGGTTTTTCCCTCATTTGAGGCTGCTTCTTCTTGTGTTTCTGGAACAACATTGCTTTCATTTGATATGACAGTACTGTATATTCATAAAAATACACAAGGATTTTATTATGTAATAACTTGGAAGAAAGCACCACATGTGATTTTAACTTTTCTATTAATGTTACCGCAGTTCATGTACATGTATAAAGTCTAGAATAAAAGATGACTTAATCTTTCTCTTAAAATTGGATAAGTCAAGTGGTTATATTAAGCACTTGACATGTAAAATAAGGAATTTACATGTAATGAAATTTTTTCAAAAATGAAAAATCTTGTTGTGAGGATAACCTTCTTTTTAAATAACTTGAGCCAAGCCATTTACAAAATTAGTTCTTATAAACATATTTTACACTTTATATTTTAACAATTGACTTACAGGGCAAAAGTAACAGTCCTATCATCAAACAAACATCTTTTATCAATCCCTTTCAAACATGCCACACAAATAAGGATTATATTACTTGTGTTTTTTTTTTATATTACTTTTCCTGTCATCTTCAACAGGAAAAACATGCAATCTTAAAGGAAACAGGAACTCAGATATTGTTTCCCTTTTTTAGAAAGTGTCATCACATGTTGATGTAATTGCTGAGAATGCCATTTTTTGCTTCAGTATATGAATTTCTACATCAGGTTTAAGAATTCTTCTCTCCCCTGAATGGACAATTTTGACTGCATACTTAAAGATAATGTTACCGGTAATTTGAATTGTTTTAAAATGAAATTTTAACCCTCACACAGGATAGTAAAATTTTGACAACATTCTTGAAGACAATATTAACTCTATCACCGGATTCAACAATTTTGACATCATTCTTAATGCCATTGTTTAACTCTCACACCTGGTTGGATGATTTTGACCGCATTCTTAATGCCATTGTTTAATTCTCACACCTGGTTGGATGATTTTTACTGCGTCCTTAATGAAATTTCAACTCTGTTACCTGATTGGACGACTTTGACTGCGTTCTGAATTACAGTGTTTAACAGACTTTCTGCCATTTGTTGTGTAGGTGAGGGGAGCTCATGGTCCGTCTTTTCTAAAAACAAAAGAGAAAAAATACACAGAAATCTTCACATAATAATACTTGATATAATTTTTGCAAAAATTATTATAGCAATTTGAAATTGCTATGAAATACAAGTCTACTCGGTAAAGAATAAATTATTAGCAAAACTCAATTTCAGTGACCTCAACAACACACTTGCTAAAAATCCCATTGAAAATTGAATCAATTAATGTAGCCAGATTTCTTCCACATTAAATCTTTTCTGTCCACACTTTATTTCACAAATCATTCTACTCCGACTTCCTGACTCTCTACTACAGAAAACCCTTCACCATTCTTTCCTTCCCTCATCATTCTCCTTACCCATTTCTTCCTCTTTTTTCATTCCTTCTTCATTCTTTCTATCATCATCAGACTCCTTTGTCTTTCTGTCACTCCCCTCGTCCTCCATTGTCCCGTTGATACCTGCCCCGTCCCGTTCTGCCCTGTGGGACGATTCTTTCAGAATGTCCTCGCGGACCGTTTTGGGGGCTTCCCCACTGATTTTACGGAAGCTGGAACTCTCCACCACTTCACGGTCCGCTTCGTTGGTAACTAGGTCGTAGGTTCCATGTAGGGGGTCGACCTTTGACAAGTAATCTGTCTCTAAGGAGAGAAGCTGGCTATTGCTGGCTACCTTCTTCACACCTGTTAATTAAAAAGGTATGAAATCAGGTGAGTTAAACATTTCTGCTGTATTAAGTAACAGTAAGCAAGCTTTTATGAAATGGATTAATTTGAGTTTCAACAAACAATTCTTTACTCAATATGAAAATGAGAAATGTAGATTTCCACAGTATTGTTAGGTCCAAAAATGATCAAGTTTACTTCCTCCTCACAGCTATTATGTATCTAAAATTTTGCTCAACCATTCATACATATATAAATACTGAAGAGTAGATTATAACTTGATTTATATCTAGTAGCATTCATTTTATTTTACAAAAAAGTATACTGTAAATCTGGAAATTTTTGCTGTAGATAAATTTTTAGCAAATTTGCAAGTTCATTGCATTCGCAAAGATATTTTTCTTAAAAATAAATTACCAATAAGAAATGTAAACAATTAAAGCAGTAGTAATTCGCAAAATTTTGAAACGTAAAAATTAATCAACCCCATTTTGACCCGAATTCGCAAAATAAAATCGACGTAAAAATTTCCAGATTTACGGTATGTTCAGAATTCTTCTATCCTAATTTCAAAACCTTTTTTTACAATCAAATTTCTTAGAGACACTCAGTAAAGCCTTACAATTATTACTTTTCAGTCAAAATTGTTAGAACATACAGTAAAGTCTTACCATTATTTAAACTGTCTGCACTCAAACCTTGCCACAATGAGTTCACTGCCTCCTGCTTCTCAGGTTTGACCTCGATGACCTCTGGTATCCCAGCAGCACTTGGAGACATGGGCGTGGCATCAATCAGTGACTGACTGGGTTCAAAGTTGTCCAACACATGTTCAATTAACTCCCCTGCTAGAGAGAAGGCTACATCCTGTATTGGTTTATCTCCCTTTCCTGGTGCACTGTCACTTGACTGGTTCCCTCCCTGCTGACTTCCCTGACTAAAATCTTTTCTCATAGTTCCACTGGATTTCCCATGATTCCCTGCTGGGCTATCACCATTATTGTCATCATTAAAGTCTAGGTCTAGCAACTCACTCCCTGAAGCCTCCTGACTATCTTTCAGCATTTCTTGAGCAATGCCCTTGGCCACCACATTTTCTGGTACAATGGATACGGGGTCAAAGTCCAGTAAAGATGGCTCCTGAGAGAATATCACAGATTTATCCTGACTTATGTTCAGCAGACGACTGTTGAGTGAATTTAAATCCAAGCCTTGACTCTGATATTTCTCCATGTTGGATTCCACAAAGCTGTTCTTAGGAGTGAAGGGGACAGAACTCTGGACTGGATCAATCCCTTCTACTCCTACTGGGGACACAGTTGAGTTCATATCTGGGTCGACAAGTCTGCTACCTAAAGTGGAGCGCTTCTGCTTTACCCGCTGAACCATGTCCGCATTGTTAAGACTTGGCAAAATGTGTTCGCTGGCTAGAGTGTCAAAATTGCTTTCCATGAAGCTGTTTTGTGGAGTAAAGGGAACACTGTCTTCTTCCTCAGTTGTTTTTTCTTCCTTCACATCTCCTCCCATACTCGCCCGCTTGTCCTGAATTCGTTGTACCATCTCCGCATTGTTAAGACTCGGTAGGTTAGATTCGTGATTGTAAAACTCACTGAACTGATCTGACACAAAACTGTTCTGTGGAGTAAATGGAACATTACCCTCCTCGTTATCAGCAGATGACAGAAGGTCCACTTCTCCACCTAAAGACTTTCGTTTCTGTTCCACTTGTTGCACCATCTGAGAATTATTCAAAGTTCTTAAATTATGTTCCTTGGCCAAGGAATCAAACTGTACATCAGCCACACTGTTCTGAGGTGTATAAGGATAACTATCCATCACATCTCCTTTCACCTTCCTAGCACCTTTCATCATTTGTCGCTTCTTTTGCTGAATTTTTTCAATGGTTTCCACATTGTTCATACTGGGCAGAGTAAATTCGTTGTTGGCATGGAAACCTGTTGAGATCAAACTATTTGGTGGCGTAGCAGTTTCTGGGGGCGTTACGGTGTGACTTGGATATTCTGACCCAGGTCGAGAGTTCCAGGCCGAACCAGGACCAGAAGAAGCCTCAGAGAGACTCTGCATCAAATCGGGGGTGCGTAGTGGGGACTCCATGACATCCGCCTCTGTGAAGTCGCCCAGTAAATCAGGGGCTCCAGAGGGGTTAGAAGGCTCCTCGGGGGACTTTGGTAAAGTAATGCTGATTTTAGGGTGTTTTCGTTGTTCAGTATCCTCAAACAATCCTAAAAGATCTTGGGAAGCTGTCTGTTTATTAGAACTCTCAGTGGATAAAGGATCAAAGAGAAGGTCCTGGTTTGTGCTAAATTGTTCACTGCTTGTTACCACAGATGGTGAAGCAGAGTTATTTGAAAAATCTAACAGAGTGTCTGATTGCCCTACTGACCCAAAAGGGTCAAAGTTCAACAGCAGGTCATCCTGAGGTATATTTGTTGTTTGCAAAAATGACTTGACCAATGGAAGGACTTTTTTTCTGGAAGCCTTGACGTTTCCTTGGTAATATGCTAAGCAGTTTCTGAGGTCACAGGTGAAAGGCTGAAGATCTAACTGAATCTCTTCATTTGTTTTCAAGAACTCAGTCAGCTGAAATTAAAAAGAATTAATGTTGTACATTAATAGGTTCATAAAAAGGTGCCTTATTACTTCCCAATTAAATTTGTTATGAATTTATTTCAATAGTATTAAAACACAACAAAATTTCAATGTCATCCTTTTTAATAGTGTTAATGTCTTCCACTTTAAATAATTAAGACATTCAATATAAAAAAAAGATTAATGCACACTGCACCATTAAAATATTCAGGTGTACAGTTTTTTTTTAAAGCAAATGAAATGAAATATTTATACATTATGAAAACACTTTTGGTTACTTATATCAATAAATACATGTACCTTTGTTGTTTCCTCAGCACTATTGGAGAATATTAAGATTTCCCTACATGGAGCCCCTGTATCTACATGCATTGTCATGACAACTACATTCTGCCCTTTTCGGTCAAGCATCAAAGAATTCATGGACTCTGATACATCAGAACGCTGAAGAAATGCCTAAAGATGGGAGAAATTACAGTCAAACCTCATCATTTTGAACCTAATGGGATTTATAGAACTAGATAAGTTTGAGATATCTGATGATTGTGATATCAAGCTTAAGGTTCATTGATACTCTGATAAGAGAGATAACTCTTAATGACATATCTATTATTCCTTTATAGATTTGCCAAAATGAAGTGTATTTTTTGTCCAATTTTGCCCAGCAAGCTATGCTATAATTGTGTGTAATTTACTTATAAATTACATTTCTTTTGAAAAATCATTAAGGTTCAAGCAACATTTTATATGAGTGAGCAGAGGGTTTATGAACCTTAAGAACAAATATACAGAAGTGGTTTGGGCTTTAAACTCACCTATGCATATTAATGATATTGAAGTTAAATATGTTTTTAAGGAATCACTGTCTAGTTTTGAGAGTATGCCAGGACATCAACAATAGTGGGAAATATGGGATAATTTGCATAACGGCCGAAGCCCGTTATGCTAAAATTATCCATGTTTCCCACTATTGTTGATGTATATACTCTCAAAACTAGACAGTGATTCCTTATATTTCCATTTCATTGTGAAATAAAATTGTAGACTTAGACATTAAGAATGTAGACTAATTGATTTAAATTACACGAGGACTTCCATGCCAATTTCAATAGTCCTCGCACACTGATGTCAAACACAAAGGCAGCCGCACGAGATTTACATGCATATTTGGCCTCCTTAGCGTCAGGCACTGATACAGATGTGCACGAGATTTACATGCATATTAGGCCTCCTTAGCTGCTGACCTATTAACCTGCCTAATTTACATTCCGGCAGAATTATCAGGAAATCAACTCCGCTTACTTTCAAAGGGTTATTATAGAGAAAAAATTTAGAAATGGAAATATTTTATGTAATTTTATTAATTTTTTAAGAGTATGTCAAAATGATGTTCATTTTTCACATATGCATCAAATGGTCATTCTGTCCCTATATATACAAACCTCCAAAGATACGGGAATTGATGACATCACTACTGTGTGGTTGCCATGGGTGACACACTTTAGATCTTTTTCCAGCACTTCCTTTGTGCTCAGAGCTATAAAACAGGAAGTCAATTAACACCAAGCTTAATTTTTGACATGTTAACTGTTCTGGCTGGTTGCCAAGAACTACTACATGATGTTTTATACATGTACACTTGTATATGTAAAGTGTCAGTGAAACCTTGTACTAGGAAATTTTAAAGAAGGTGCACTGAAAATAGAAATGTCTCAGTAGGTGGACAATCATATTGTGTGTGTGATTTTTTTCTACTTTTAAAGTCTTATTTCAACTATTTCCTGACTTAATGATGTAGATAACAACTCTTTGTGTAGAAAACTTTAAATTAAAAAGGAAAGAGCTGCAGGAAACATATCTCATGTTCACAAAACAACATCTTCTTTCTCTTATCATATATTATTTTTACTTTTGAATTCATTTTCCAGTTTTATTTTTTCTATTTGTTAATTTTCAAAGATATTGAATATTATATAAGTATTCAACAAGAAAATTGTTTTCTCTATACATCAATTATCTGAATTTGTGTGCTTAGGTTCTCTTAGTGTAATAATTTACTCATCAATCTTTATCAGACACAATTTAAGCCCTTAAAGCATTTTCTCCAAACAAATATATTGAATAATATATTTATTTTCCCCTGAATCTCTAAACAAATTCCTAGATCCACCCCCTTAGAACCATTACCTGAGATATCATTCTTGGTGTCCTGGATGTCGCTATAGAGTTTGTCTTTATCTAGGTCAGGTACTATCTGGGTCAGTCGGCGTAAGACCTCTTGATCATACGGAGTTGTCTTCCCTGCCTCTGGACTCGTATTCACAGTGTCTACTAATATTGTACCTATTAACGGAAAAAAATAAACAATATTATGGCAGGCTTCATACATATTAGTGGCCTTATCACATGTGCTAATTTATGAATACTGCTAAGAAATGATTTATATATACAAAACATGAACATGTGTAGCACTAATTCATGATTACACCATGATCCCCACATCCTGTGATAGGGCTAAATTTTGAATACTGTGAAATCACAAATTTTCACGGGGGTTAATTTTCGTTTTTTTAAGAGGTATGACGAGACTCAAAAATTCATGTCCACCACAAAATGTAAAATGTTATACATAAGTACTCATTAATTCTTGATCCACGAAATCAAATCCCCAGGAAGCAAGAGATTTTCCTCAAACCAGGAAACTTTGACCCCACGAAAATATGTGATTTTACAGTACGCTAATTTATGTACACGTACAGTAATTTATGTAGAAATCATATATTGTATCATAAAGCACTACCCAGAGGTATAAATTTATTTTAAACCATACATGTTACAAATTTTCATACTGCCAGGAAACCAGAACAACCATGCTGTGGTTTTGTTTTTAAGGAAGCTGGGGGGTCAACAAATTAATCACAAATTAACCACCAGATTTAACTTATTTTTTTAGATATGGTAACTTAAGCTGTCTACTATCATTTCACAAAGAAAAAAATTCATACATTTTAGTTTTAAAAATTGATCATTTTCTATATCTTCATATGGAGCTCTCCTTTTAAAGGAGATAGAAATAGTCTGAAAATGGCTGCCACACCCCAGCCTCGTTAATAATTTTGATTTGTAAATATACAATGACGAAGCCATATGTTCCCCTGTAAATAAGCCCAACAAAGCCTGAAAATAAAATACAACTGAAGGACCCATTAGAAGCTTTGTCAATAGCTACTGCTTCCCTAATTACATGAAGTCAGAGAGATTGATAATGCTGTGTCTCATACATGGCCTCTCAGGTTACCCCCGACAAATTATCACGAAGGCAAGGGAAGACCAAGATATGACATGGCCAATACAGTGAAAACTTGTTTTAGTATGAACACGGATATTGCGAATTCACAGATATAGCGAAGTCATCTTTGATCTCCACAATCTTTACCATGCTACATCAATTTTTAAGTCTTTGTGCGCATAAAAACAGAGAGATCAATTTGTAATTTAGGCAGTATAACTTTGTGCTCCATTAGAAATATAATTTTAGCAAATTGCAAGTTACCTGTTAGGAAAACGGTGGCTTGTTACAAATTCAACCCCAGACTGTAAGCTTGTGTCAATTTGATAACTTTGGTAACACAGTGGCTTAGCAACTTTCTTTTGATATCACAAAAAGCAGAACTAGTATGCAATGTCACTTAATTGCAGAAACAATGAAGGGTACAACATTTAATACAGCAAGTCCAAGTTTTTTCTTTCATCTTTTAAAAACCTACTATTGTCTTGCCTATTCCCAACAAAACAAACAAGCCAAAAAAAAAATTGATTAAATTAAAAAAAAAAACAGACTTTTAAGCAAGATTACATGATAGCTGACTGTGAAATTCAAATTCAGATTTACCTAGTAACAATGTGGCAACTTGTGGGCATATTGTAAATTCTGGATTGTCCAGTAATATCCCAGCGACCAAAGAACTGCAGGAGCCAACAAGGTCCTGAATTATCTTCACCCTACAATGAAAAGAAAACACTGTGAAAGCAATCGCTGACCAGATTTAGTGGTAAGAATAATGCATAAAACTAATGTTTTTGGACTATCTGCCCCTTCCCTTCCTTAGTTCCTAACCAGAGGAGCAACAAAACTCAGGAAAGAGATGATTGCATGAAGGACAATCTTGAAAATAGTAAAATTCTCAATTAACCTTGGACTTTCAGTAAGGCATGGAATTCTCGACATAACATAATTAGCATCTGAAAGAACTTTATTCGGTAATAGCCAATATTTGCCCCCCAAATCAAACTTTGATGGAGGTATATTTAATTAAGTTCTTAAACAGGGGAGTATATGCTGATTTCAAAGCACTGAATAATTTCATACGTAATGACGTCATATGTACGTAATGACGTCACAAACATGACATAAATTTTAGTTTTTTATGAACTCTACAGAAAAATGTACATATTTCATCAATATTTTGAGTAAAAGTCACCGAGCGCATGTGTGTTCAGGATCAATATTTTGATATAATGTGTAGAATGATAATATCAATGAAATATGTAAATATTGTTCCTGAACAAGCATGCGCTCTATAAAATTTAAAGCTAAAATTGTTGAAATTTTGTCCATTTTGTACTCTTTCTTAAAAAGGATATAAAATCAGACTACCCGGTAGTTTGTGACGTCATAAAAACAAAAATTGTGAATAAACTGCTTTGAAAATATAATATGTTCTGTTAATATATATTTCTCATACAATTTATTGAATTCAGCACATTTCAGGAAGTTTTCAAAATCTGACTTTTGTGGGGGCATGTATATGCAATATACCGCATATAGTTCTTTACACAGCCTTTCATTCACTGTTGAAATATACAATTGGACGAATGTCAACATGTATCATTGATCCATTGATGGTGTTTAAGAAAAGAGGTGGGGTTTAAGTCATCTCATCATTGTCTTCAACAATTCAAAGTTGTTGATGTTATTAAATTATCAACCAATGAGAATTAATTCGACAATTGAGAGACGCTAATATTATTACGTAGTGTTGAGACAGTCATGCCCTACAGAAAGTCCAAGGTTAACTGAGAATTGTACCAAGCTAGGGAAATACTGCAATAAAATGGCAATAGTTAAAGAATTCCTCAACTTACTGCTAAACAGAAAATTAACGAGAGATCAGTGTTCATCTTATATAATATACCCAAGAAATGTGATATTTATATAAATTTGAATGTGGGATTTTTTGCTTTCAGACAACAGATGTTTGAACATCCTTTAATAGGTACCATATCATTGTTAATCAGAAATATTTTGAGAAGTTTAAAATATTTTATTTTGCTATTTTTAAGTAAGTTTCTAAGTCAATACTTTATATAGAACTCTTCTGAAAAAAGAAAAGAACAAAAATTGTACCTGGTAAAAAGGGACATAATCCCAATATATGAGCCTTTTTAATTTTACAATAGCAAGGGAGTGTATTCTTTATTATTCTCCAATGTCTTTACTCATATTTCTTAATTTAATATTTTCTATTATATCACACACTTTAGAATTTATTTTTTTTATTTTTTCTACACTAGAATCTGGAACTGTAATGAAATTGTAATTAACACCTGTGGCTAGTATTTAGATTGTTCAATATCATTCTCAACATTAATCTGAACTTCAAATGCATATTAATAACCAGCATCTAACTAACCCTGAGTAAATTACCATTTCCATAAAAACCTGCAGCATTAAAGATATACATAAAAAGTCCACTGGTTTCCATGGATATCACATTTTTTTTCTTCCAGGGCTATATACTAACATAATATTTTATTCTTGGCGACAAAAAGCAATACGACTTGTCGTGTCAAGCCAGACGACCTCAGAAGAAACTGGCGCTTTCATTTCTTCAGAAAGAATTCTCGGATTCTTAATTAAGCGTCACACACCCTGGTTGCTCTGGTATTACAGTTAAGACAACACATTGATTTGTGACAGACCCTTTCCTTTTCTTCTTTTTCAATGCCAGATAGCGAAAAATGAAGTCGTGTCATGTTTTTTTTTTCCTTTTGATGCCAAAAATCAATTTCTGTGTTCTGTGTAAAATAAGTCTATAATACTTCTGTCTTTAGCTTATTAGGCCTAATGGAAATATTTTTTTTTATTTATAAAAGCAGCTGGTGTTTTGATTGAATTAAGTAAAAGATATCTCTCATCTGCTTGAAATGAAATATTAAGAATTAAGGGGGGAAAATTCCTGCTTTTTTTGCTACTGTACATGTATATTAAAAATTATCACAGATTTAAAATATGACTTGTTAGCTCTAAATGTTACTCTTGAATTCAACTAGTTGTCTAACACCTATCCAGTAAAAAGGCTATTCTTCAGCACAGCATGTGAGCAAAAGTATTAATGAAATCCATGTACCAGTCGTTTTTCTGAGTATTTTTTTTTCAAATGATCAATTTTATTTATGAACAGATATATCACAATAAAGATTTAAAAGACATCAAACTACTTTGTTCAAATAGGCCTTGCAGGTACAAGAGATAAAATTAATTTTCTGTCTTAAAACCAAGGATTTACTACAATAAAGCAGATTGAAATAAATAGAATTCAATTATTTTTTTTTAACAGAAATAGAAGCAATTCAAGATCCCAATCTAAAAATACACATCTGAAAGCATTGTAATTGGTTTATTTACGACTTCTGTTTGATCTTAATTGGTCAATTTTCTGTGCCCATGTTGCTTGAAAAATTTCACAATATCAGGTTTCTTGCCAGACCTTAGCATTTCTAAATGATTTACTTCAGTTCAGTAAGTTAAAACTGAATCACTGATCTCTGCTCTCATATGCCTATCCATCAGAAACTGCAAAGCATTTCTAATTTTCTATCGTTAGAAATTATTTAAATTCATTCAGTATCATTTTGATTTTCCGAGAAAATTTGTTTTTAATTCAGATTGTTTAAAAAATATTCTGGAAATACACAAGGAAAAAACAGTATTTTGTGTTTGTATTTTATTTCATTTCACTAATATTATTATATAATATTTATTTTCTACTGTTTCATCCTTCCCCTTATAAAACAAATCAATTTTTGTAGTGGAGTCATTTTACACTTCCTCATCATGAAAACTAATTATGGCCAACTTGATAAAAGCTTACACATACAAAGTATCTTCTAAATGAAGCTAAGCAACCCCCATACAAACCTATCGCAGGGTTTCCTTTCCAGCGGACGGTGATCAATTACCATGACAACACTGTCCTCCAACGATGAGTCACGACCAACCAAAACATTGTGGTCAACCAGGGTCAAGGTCAATCTGCCTTGTTGATGGAGGTTGTGAAGGTCAAGGTCATCCCTGAAGGTCAAATGATCTGGGTTTATCCCTGTGTGGTTGAGGAGAAATTTTGTGTCTGTTTTAAGGTGGAACTTGGACCTCTGAGTATTTAGCACAGGAAGACATGGGAGTTGACTGGAGGAAGATGTCTGGAAAAAAGAACTAGACATGCTTAATGTGAAAAAAGGCCCTAAGATTGTAAAGAACAGTAACTCTTGCATTAAACAATTAAATAAAGTTAATATAAACTTTTTTCTTTAAATCTGTCTGTGACAATCTAGTCAAAACCCATCTTCACTTAGTAAAATTATTTTTAAAATTCTATACAGAACTTATTAAATCTGGAATTAAGGGAAGATTTTGAACTAATTTCTTTTTTTAATCAACATTTTTCTGAAAAAAAATATATAACTGTATTGCATATTTTTATTTTAAGTTGACAATATGACACTAAAGTACTTCAAATTGCAAATTGTCAAGAAACAATAAATCTATCTCATACTGTATAGGTCTCATATCAAAATAAGTTTAACCCTCTGTAGATGTGACTTTTACCTTGTGTAAAAAGTAACTGTAGGTCAAGGCTGAAACAGCTGAGTCAAGGTCACATGATTCATTGCCAATGACAACATGTATTTTACTGTCTTTGTATGTTTCTTTGTCCTACAAATAAACAAAAAGTCAACACATCTATATCAGTGTATACATTTATACGTACAACCCTAAATGGAAATTGATAGTTCTTAATAATCAGACATGAAATTAAATTGAATGAAATATATGCCTGCATTAGAAAACAGAACATTGATTGATTAGGGTTGTAATCCTTTAGTCATGAAATTCCTTTGTATTCACACAAAATTAGATTTAAAAAAAAAAATGTCATGACTGGTTTAATCAATTTTCCTGACTGGCACTTTTAAGAAAGCTGAAGGGAATTGAAATAATTTTACTAAAATCTGAAGGTAATTTAGCATGGTAAACTGACAAGATGCTGGCTTTTTCTGAAAACCCTGGAATCTTAAGCTGTTATATAAAACTGTAGTTCATAGACCTGATAGAGAGAAAACCATTTTTACAAGCACATTTTCATGAAATCTTACTACATTATATTGGAAGTGTAGGAAATATGATGTAATCGTGATACAAAAATCAGAACTTACAACTTTGTAGACATGCTTTTAACACGGGATAAAATTGCATTACATAATACATGTAGCAAACATGATACAGTGAAACCAAAATGTAATTGACTGGCTGTTAGAAATGTTAACTTAGACAGATTTTAAACATGTTCAAGTTCTGTGAGAGTGACACAGTACGTACTATATTTTAATCTTTGAATTTTGAAAGAAAATTTTGGTAAATAAAAATATTTGGCCACACCAATAAATTTTTTTGTTCGTCGGACCCGCGCGCTCATATTTAAACAAAACTATAAATTAAAATAATATTAATTTAAAATCCCCGCACCATGGGAATTCAGTGCTGTTTTCTGTTCCATTTCTGCTCTATTTATCGTACTTTTCATCTACTTACTCTGCAAATCAGAAAAAAATATAATTCTCCGCTCAAATTTTTTCACACCCAGCCTAAAAATTTTGCCTACAATAAAGTAATAATATTATTTAACTGCTAGCCCGCTCGTACTTTTTTCATCAAATGTCTGACGAACAAGAAATTTAATTGGTGTGGCCTTAGTTCAGAATTCCTGTTTTCAATTACAGAGGTTTCAGCTTACAAGTATCCGATTAAACAGAAGGGACTGTATAAATGCTTTATTTTCCATATGACTGTCTTATCCTTGAACAATATGTTAAAAACATGACCAATACTACTAAACACTGTGTAATATAATACAATAATTATATCTATTAAAAGACACTGCATCCCCTTTTTAACATAAATACAGTAGAATTCATTATTACAGCTGCTTGACTCTATATAAAGAAAAGTCTCAGCATGCATTTAGCCACTTTCATATTTTTATCCACAATTTATTTGACATTGGCAATTATCATTTCTGATTCTGACAGCTTTAGTAATAAGGACTAGGCAACAATTACTATGTAGAGCAACACATAGTACTTTGTACCAGAGGTTTTTACCCTTTTCTGCAGATTTCAAAAAGAATAAATATGGGTGCTCAAAGCTAGCTGTAATATCTATTATTAACAATTACAATTTGTGTACTGATGAAGATAGTATTAAGAATCGGTAGTTTAATTTATTATTGTAGAAAACACTGCGAATACTAATTAATTCAATATGCATCTCAAAGCTTTTTTTCTACCAGTCCATTGATCATGTTAAATTAATGATTTTTTTAATCAACTACATGACTGTCAACTCCTAGACAGTATCGACAATGGTCATACCACACAATACAAATATGTCTTAATTATTGTAAGTAATGTTATATTATAAATGTTAGATAATAAAATCTTATAGAGTTAGTCCCATTTCATCATGATAATTCAATATTTGTCAATGACATTCTATCAAAATAGCATGCATTTACGGAAATTAATTGCCAAAGTCTCCAAATTAGTCCATACAGACAAATTTAACCATGTTAACATATATATACATTTATAAGTTAATATTTTATGTTTGCATTTTTTTTTTCTTGTCATTAGTGTATACTTTCATCATGTACATAAAATGTATAATGTATTGGTTTTTAACATGTCTCATATATTGATTACTTTTCAATTTCTAAAGAATTCAAAAAAATTACATGTATCTTGTTCACTGATGTATAAAATCTACCAGTACTTATACATACTGAAACTTCCAATGCCGAGAAAGAATTAAAGGTAGATTAAAAAGATATTCTATCAGAATTATAAAAACAGTTTTATTGTTTAAAAACTGTTTAAAATCATGATCTAGATATTTTAATCTTCTTGAAATTGAGGCGATCGAATCTCACAGCTTAAAGGTTACAGAAATTCAATCTGCGGAGAAGCTTTGAATTTCAAATTTTTTTTTAGAACATGTCAGTTCAAAATACATGAACATGATGAAATATGTTTTTGTAGGAATTATCTGACACAATTTTTTTCTCGAATTCTTTCACTGACAGACTCCAAGATAAAATTTCTGCTTCTTGCTGCATTGAACTTAAGCCAAGTTCAAGTAATATTACATAACTGTAATCAGAAAACATGCAGATGGGAATGCACTGCATCTAATCAAAATACAATAAACTATTATGTTCTCGCTTACCAGAAATTTTCTTGTTTCTTGTAAAAATTGCTCCATGGCTGGGGGTGTATTCTATCAAGCAGCTTCTTCTGATGATAGCATGGTTGAATTAAACTGCAATAAATAAAATATATATAAAGTATATTAATTCAGATTCTCAAACATGCATTGTGATGGCACATAATAACATAATATGAATGCATGGGTATTGTACCTGTGACATATTGATATAATATCTGTGACATACCCGTTCTTTGTCATAACTATGACATACATAGCCTGTCCTTTCATTCCAGTGACATTTCTGTGACTTACCTTTTTACATATCCATAGATATATATACCTATGTCATTACTATGAGTCTGTGAAATACATGTGACATTCCTATGATGCACCTGTAATTTACCTTTGACATATCTGTGACATATCAATATAATAATACCTGTAATATATAATAAACTTTTGAGGTGAATTTAATTTGTTTTTCTTATATTATGTTTTAGTTTTCCTATCTGACTTTTAAAATCATCTTTTAAAAAGATATAACCAAATTCCCATTTGATTTTGTCTAATAATTCATGAGTTATTGAAGCTGACATACTATTATACCAAAAGTGAAAATGAAAACACTCATTATCAGAATGTCTCTTATGCATCAGCCAGAGCCTTATTTTTCCTTTGCATGGAATTTCATTAAGATTTTATCTTTCAGTAATACTATATTTGGCATGGGTAACCAAAAAAAAAAACATCAAACTGCGCGCGCATGCGCCAGTGAGAGGAGTAAAACAGTAAGTTGACTGGCTCAAAAAATCAAATTGCGGAATTGTTTTCTTTCAAATTTCGTATGAATATAATGATTATAATCATCTACTGTATAAATGGCTGTTTTTGTGGTAGTAAGGTGGTGATTTAAGAGATGGCAGGACGAATAACCCGCTTTTAACATGGGGTGATCGCTGTTTAAACATGTCATCGTCACGGTTAATTGAAAAAATTAACCCTCTCTGACAACGGGTAACAAGTTTTATGGGGGAAAATTTACAAGAAACTGCTTAGTAAACCGTTGTTGCCTTTTTCATTAATTAGGCAATTCGAAAACAAGACCCCATTGAACTTCCGTAAACTGTGCCAAGATTGTAAGAAATTCATAATGTCTCCTAATATTGAAAAACGATGTGCATACCTCAAATGCATCAAATAATGCAAGAAAATTTGTTGACAAACTCGTCGTTAAAAAATTGCACGTGTTTTGGGCTTTTTAGTGTTTTCCCTACGTGACGTCATAAATTTCATGGTTGAGTAATTCTGAATACTGATTTTGGTGCACAGCAACTAAATTTCTTTTCTGACCAATTTTCGTAATTTTCGGTCATGTGGTCAAAATTTTTTCGAACATTATGCTACCCTGCGTTTCTTTTTCCTTTCAGTATATATACCTGTGTCATTCCTATGAAACAACCGTGGTTTACCTTAAATCTTTACCTTTTAATAATATATTAATAAAATATCTGTGATATACTTGTGCCATACATGTAACTATGACATACATGTGACATATCTATTATACGATTTAGAGATAAACCTGTACAATAAAAATATCAGAATAATTTTAGTGGAAGCAGGATTTCAAGAATCTTTTTATTTAAACTTCCTCATATAAATTTTATCGTATTTCAATGTCAATACCAAAATAGGATGGTGACTTTTTAAAAATAAAGAAACATCAAACATGGCAACCTAGTAATGGAAAGATGAAAAAAAAAAAAATTCTAACAGCTAGGTAGTGTTTGAAATAATTATCAAGGGAAATATTATCACGATTATGAAACATAGTCAAACTACTTCATTAATTTTCAATAGTAAGTAAATAATAAAATCATAAGGGGTCCCCCATGTGATCTCATACGATGATGGCTTTTCCTAGATATAGCACTTGTACAAAACACTTTATTTACCCAAGAGGGTGCTCACTGTTTAAGCATGTTAAAGTAACACATGGAATTATAACATGTATAAAATTAATACATTAAATTATTTTCAAATGCATTTTTGAAAATTATTCCTCCTTGAATAAAAACTGTGAACATTGTTATAAAACATTGGCCTATTTTGTTTCTTACATTTCTTTATTGCATGTTTAGTTAAATCACTTCTTGATCTATTAATCAACAATAATAAATCTATTCTCATCTAATATTTTTACTTCCTAGTTTTTCACAATCTCAAAAAAGAAGAAAAATATGAGTTATTTATTCTTCCAGGACATTACTACAAAATGGTGTTTACTTTTGGGAATTATCATTACTAATTGGTTTTTCTGCCAAGTCTGCATAACATGCATAAAATGGGTCTCCAGGGATGTTGAATTTATGGGGGGGAGTGTTTATATCTTTTAGTCCATTGTTGGATTGTGAAAAACTGAGCATTCCATGACCAAAGACATGCATTTATGTATATTTCTCTATTAAGTCGAATACAAAAAATGAATATTCATGAAATACTGATCAACAAAACTGTATACCTTTTACATAAATATACATAAATGTCGTAACATATACCGAGATATGATGAATTAAAAATGAAATTCACGTGGGATTGTCAGCCAATGCTAAAACTGATGCTTAGCTTCTTCCTGTCACTGAAAATCAACCAAAAAAAATGTAGATGATTGAAACAAGAAATATGTTGTATTGCAAATGAATACAAAGTCAAAATGTCACATTTCCATTTCTGCAAGATCATATCCTTTTTTTTTTTTTTTTTTTTTTTTGTTTTGTTTTTTTTTTTTTTGTTAGATATCACCATAAGTTCTTGAGAAATATCCTAAAAATGCTTTCGAATTTTTCAACCTCAGTGTATTTCTTAATTGAGATGGGTACATTTCTACATTGAATCAATGAATGACACATGCAAGTATCATTGATCTGACACAAAAATCGAAAATTTCTGTATTCAAAATGTACTCATTGCAAAAATTTATAAGCAGAATACTGTTTAAATGCATAATAGAAGCCGATAAAATAAATACGCAAAATGTAGAGATAAACAGTGTATTGTGTAACACGCTGGTTCTTTCTATATTAGTCGCAAGCTATAGTATATTGCCCTATATCAAACATGCATTTATCAATTTCGAATTCTCTGAATGAATTTTAATACGCAAGATGTAAAACACTTGCATTTAGCTTTTACACTTTGAGATTTTGTTATCAGTTATCTACAGAAGTGCAACAGCTGATTTCTCGCCGCCCCCCGCAACCCGCCGCTAAAAGTGGCGAAAAATAGCGCAACATTACCTAGAAATGGAATCCAATCCTTATTCCTCAAGCATCTTGTTTCATCGATACGAAATTCCACAGATGTCCTCCTGTAAACATTAAATAACACACATGGATATATTTTCTGCGCCAACTTTGCACATTCTCTCTTCTGGCGGAAGTGGGAATGTTTACGTTCTACAAAGTTCAAAGTTCAAACAATTTGTGCTCTGAACCCGATCGAAATGAAGGTCGGGCTAAAAAATATAATAAACAGAAATTTATTACATTTAATTTCACAATTAATCTGTTTTACAAAATAACCGACTAATAGCCTAAGACAATTATATTAAATTGCAGTTATGTTCGTTATGTTTTAATATAATATCTGTTATAAGTGGTAATTTTGAAAGATATCTTATTTTTCCTAGGTTAATTTTTGCCTAGACATAATGTCAATCACGTCTCTGATAATAAATCAATTAAATCTGAAATGCATGGTTTATAATTTTAAAAACTTTTTAAAAATTGTTTTTAATCTAATTTCTTCTTTCAAATTTGGGAAGCTAAAAACAACTTAATAAATCATTCAATAAATAATAAAAAAAAAAAAAAGAAAACCGAAAATTAATTGTCTGTTTAATAAAAATATCCAATTCAACAGATGTCCATTTGTATATTAGATTTGAAGAATGGTAGCTCTTAATGTGAATTTAATGTTGATGCGCATAAATATTTGATAGGACGAACACTATACATACGTTCAAGCAAATTAATCATATACAAGATGCATGTACGTCTGCATGATCGAGCTCAGTTTACATGAATTTTCTCATCCATTATGTTAATATGTTATTATAAATGTTAAGAACGCACAAATGTAAAGAAATTTAAAAAACTTCTTTTTTTAAAAAATTAGTAGGTTCCAACTTCTTTTTGTGCCAATATTTTGTACTCAAACACTGCACCACCATTATGTTATATACTCTAAAATTTATTTTTTAATGTTGCAACTAACAGGGTTGGGGGGGGGGGGGGGGTAAAAAATGAAAAAAATACTATAGAAAAAATACATGTGCATGTACGATAGAAAATCTTACTAAAAATGTCTTTTAATCAAACACTGCATTACCCTTATACTACCCGATGCTACGTGCCTGTACATTTCATTGATATATAGGATTAGTTTAAATCAAATCTTTTTATCAAGAACAGAAGAGCAATTAGACTTGATCACATTTACAACAAAGTATCCCTAGTTAGCGCAGTTTCAATTTCGTTCAAATCAAAACTTGTATAATCTGCTGATGAAGTACAATTAAGAAGGGCCATAGTTATATTCCGGTGAGAATTGTGACCCAGGCCATAAGCATTGTGACCCATGGGTCTTTTCTATAAATACTATTTGGTAATTTCGGTCTGACAGCATTCATTTTTTAACTTTGTATTTCACGAAAACTGGTTCCTCCATCTTCACTGCCTCTCCCCCCCCCCATAAAAATACAAATAGATCCTTATAGACATAAACCTAATTTGAACATGCACATTTGGTCACATATGTTTTTTACAGGTTGCTGAAGTCATCAGTGTTCAAATATGCAATGCTGAAAATAAAACACATGTATGTTGAATGTATTTTGTAACACCTTCTGTTTATTTCCACTTTTTAATAGGTACTGCTCAAATCTAAAATGCTTTTACAATTGTCCTGTTTTTTTTTCTCACACATGAAGTCATGTGATTATTGGGAAATATTGTACACAAAATACATTTTTTTTTTTTAAAAAAGGAATTTTTTCCTAATAATACTGTGTTTTTTTAACATGATAGCCTATATATAACTTCGTATATTTTGCACATTACTAAGAATTAAAACTGTATCATCATTTTTGCTATGCACTTGGTATCAAATCATATTTATGACTAAAACATTTTTTTAACCTTTTTAAACATTTTTTTAACCTTTTTAGTTAGTAGGTAAAATTTTTTTCACAATATTACACGTCTTTGCGTTAGACAGTTTTAGTTAGAGCTTGGTACACTGTCAGGATGGGGGTCAACAGGGATGATCAGTCACTGCGCACTGGTGGAAGGTATTCTGGTCTCTCTCTTTATCCAAAATCAGCATGATGACATTTCTTCTGCTTGGGCTATCTTTTGGACTGACTGCTGCTCTCTTGCTTCCCTCCTAGCCCAGAGAACTGTGTCTGGAAGCCTCTACATCCAACATCTACCGGATAGCTCCAGGTCTGTTATCCTGTCTCCCTGATTTCTGCCATCAATTGGTCATATTTTGCTTTCTTTTTATGGACTTCATCGCATCTTTCTTCCCATGGAACTCTCAGATATATAATAATTAATGGATGATACTTGATGACCACTTTACCATATCAGACATGAGATTTGTGGAAATACCGGTAATCTCTGGGATTGTTGGTTTCTGACTAAAATCTACAACCAGCTTCCAATCATCTGCCTGGTAAAGTATTCCGGAGGTCATTTCCTCTCTCTTCTTTGCTGTTTCACCTTTTTACAAAACAAATCTATGTTTGTTTCACTGCTGTCTGTTTGCTTTTATTTTTCCAATCTTTCTCTATTTTGTCTGTCATCTCTTTTAGAACCTGATTATGACAACATGACTAATTTCCCTGAGATAATACCACCTCACAGCAGGACAGTTAGAGTATGCTGTTGGGTTCCTCTTTTCCACAAAGGGGGTAATCTGGTGTTTCTATGGAGACTTTCTGGTGTTGATAGCAGATCGTACACTGGGCGAAGTAGAAATTTTAGTTGGAACTGGTATTTCTAGATGTCTGCTCAGGATAGTGTCAGTTGGTCTATTTCCACATTTTCTAAGCACCGTGGACTCCCATCTCCACTGCCTTAGCTTGTAGATTTTCTACCTCTCCGTCTCGGATCTCTTTCTGCACCATGTTACATCTGTTCTTATAAAGTCTATTGTTTGAGCGTGTAACAGACTTCTTCCAAAAGCTGCTTTTGGATGTCCCTAGACCTTGCCTTTCCACCGCTACCGTTCCTACAATGTCTTTGTGTCTCAATTTGCTCTCCGCCTCTTCTGCTGCCTCTGTTGCTGACAATTTCCACCCTGTCTGTACTTATACACCAGATCATCTTACCTCATCATCTCCTAAGCTTTTAAAGTCAAAACAAGCCTTGCTTTGCTTGCTCTTCTACTATTGATGTCATAGGAAGATGTAGTTTGGCCGATTTGCTATAAAAGCCGATTGATGTAAAACTTAATGGTACACTAAACCACTTCTTGAACTGGAGTAAAAGAACAGTAGAAGAGGTGGCGAGCGGATTGAGCCACAAAGACATTGTAGGAACATTGGCGGTGGGAAGGTAAGGTCAAGGGACATTAAAAAGCAGTTTTGAAACTGATACAAAGAACAGACGTACGTAGCATGGTGCAGAAAGAGATCCGAGCCAGAGAGGAAGAAAACCGACAAGCTAAGGCGGTGGAGATGGCAGTAAGCCTAAGCATTGTACAACATGTCACAATACCCTTCAACAGATTCTGCAAAGATGTTGAACAGTTGGCCATTGTGAAGCGAAATTGTATCCCACTGAAGTAACTTCTGATTATAATCTGGAACTGCTCTGGTATATGATATTGATCAAGGACTTCTCTGTGGGATCATTTCGTACGTAGGTATTGTTAAATCTAACCAAACCATCATGAGATCTTCCTTGTTGACTTCTGCTTCATTAATTGTTTTATGATGCTAGTATGTTCAATACATTCAGAAAACCTAGATACTCCTCCTTACTGTACTGATGTATCAATATACATGTATATGTACTGATTCTTGGACACCTTCTCGGAGAGGAGAGAAAAGATTTTCCACTCCACATTTAACAATGAGATTGTCCGGAAGTGGATTATCCCCTTAGAGTCAGGACAGAGCAGATTTTCCACTCCACATTTAACAATGAAATTGTCCGGAAGAGGATTATCCCCTTATAGTCAGGACAGAGAAAATTTTACACTCCACATTTTACAATGAGATTGTCCGGATGTGGATTATCCCCTAAGGGGTCTTCTTTAATATTAAACACCCCTCCGCCTTCTGCCAACAAGATGAAATCTTCCCTTTCCTCCATACCACTCTTAATAGCTTCAGTAAGTGTCTAAGAATCTTCGAAATCTCTTACAGATTTCATTGGGGATAGTATTGGGACCGGGCCCTGGGGCCAAAAAACTAAGACAAGGTCACCTTTGATTTAAGTCTCACTTTTCCACTATTAATCCCTTTTTAAAAAAGTGAGACTGGGATCAAAAGTAAGTTCGTCTTAGTTTTTCGGCCCCGGAGCCTGGTGCTAAAGATGTTCTAACTTTTCTTTTTACAATATCTTGCACTTCTCTTAACGATGATTTCTTTACATTCAATTGCTTCTCTGGTTCTGGTATCTCTTGTTTCCGATCACATCATCTTTGGTATTTCCACTGCTCTTTGTGTTTCTTCTGAGTAGTTCTCAACCTCCATAGATTGATTGATTGTATGTTGTTTAACGTCCCTCTCGAGAATTTTTCACTCATATGGAGACGTCACCGTATGCCGGTGAAGGGCTTCAAATTTAGACCTTTACTCGGCTCTCAGGGCCATTGAGCAGTGAGGGATCTTTATCGTGCCAACGCCTGCCGCTGACATTTTCACTGCTCTTCAAAGTGTGTTTAATTTTATCGACTAGGTCAGTCGCGGTCGAGATACGAACTCACGACCTCCCGATCACGGAGCGAGCGCTCTACCGACTGAGCTACCGTGAACGGTCAACCTCCATAGAGCTCTTCATTGTCCCTGGCTTTGCACCTTCAAGGGTTAATTTTGCAAATCTGTGTGGCTGCTGTAAACTTTTCATGCCCTCTTCTTACCTCTCTCTTGTCCTTTCCTTATTCTCTCTGCATTCTGATGTTTGTTTCTCTCCTTTCTCAGAACTACCTTTAGAGCTCACTGAGACCAATTTTCTGATCTTCATTTGTTGTTCTAGACTGTTTTGGGTAGAGCATTGAACTCTGCTCTTAATTTTTTATCTCATACTGGCATCTGTTTGGTTTTCCTTTGCTCCCTCTCTGCATTTTCTCTTTGTTTCCAAAGCCTTCAACTCCTACAATGTATACTAGCGCAGTCAATGATGTTATCTTCCTCTGCAGAATTTGCTTACCAGTGCGCTGTGTAAAATTTTGTCATTGTCAAATATTTCCTTTCTCTTGTTGTCTGTTGATGATCACTGTAGTACTGCTGATTTCCAAATGTCACTAGATGGTTCTGGGGTTGTCGGATGTCTATCTGACTTGTCTGGTTCTGGCTCAATTCTAGCCTGAAAAGCATCAGTTAGTGGTCTGCTCCTGTTTTGTGTTGTGTTATGGATTTTTTTTATCTGGAATATTGTTCGTTATCTCCATATGTTTCATTAGTAAAATGACCACAGTAATGTGGTGATCATTCTGAATGTGGTCATTTTCCGTGTGATCAGTGTTCCCTGACTGTGCTTTCCTCCTGTTGCCTCTCAGGTCTACATCTAGCCCTTGCCTGATGTTTTTATACCAATATATTAGAGTTATAACAATAAGTTTACATTGTAGATAAACCTAACTACTAAAACGTTGCAGTCACATTTACATTTTTAAGTAGATAAAGTAAAATTTGATATATATAGACACCATTGGTTGCACAACAATTGGCTTGATTGAACAAAATTTTTAACAATAAAGTTTCCTGAAGAAAATAAACATCTTCTTAGGGGATATTTCAGAACATACATCTGGATATTATGGTGGCATATCTAATTACTAGTATGCCATTCACAAAATTTTTGATAACATAGCATATCATGTCAAATAAAGATAACTTTCTCGTCAAGTCATAAAAACTTTCTCGTCAGTCAACAAAATGGACTTTATATCTTGTCCAGTCAAGATAAGTTATCACATTTGTCGAGATAGCTTTTTATTCATCATGCAGAATAAGTTGTCTCGTCATGTCAAGATAACTATCACAACAAATGTGATATTTTATCTTGACTAGAAAAGATATAGACAAAACAAGATACAAGTCGATTTTGGTGACAAACTAGAAAGTTATCATAACTTGACAAGATACCTGGGTAGTTATCTTAACTTGGCATGGTATGCAATGTTAACAAAAAGTTATGTGGATGGCATAACTATGCCACCATTGTGGCAACGCACTTTGAAAAAATTACGCACTTTGAAAAAATTTTTCAAAGTGCGTTAAAATTGGGACAAAATCAACGCACTTTGAAAAATTTTTTCAAAGTGCGTTAAGAGTCTACATCAATATATTTTACCATGGCGACACTTAACGCACTTTGAACAAAATTAAATATTTTAGTAATGGAAAGATTTTATTTGTTATTTATCTTTCAAAACCTTATGAATTGATTAACTCCCGTCGAAAAAAGAAGACAGGTTTAAGATCCCTCAGTCCAAATCTTTATTTTTTGAATATATAGGTGTCGCGGTAACAAACGGGGGAGGGGAGCATAAACCTCAAATGGGTAAGCTGCATTTTCAATGCTTATACGATGTATATATCTTTCCAGAATAAGTGGGGGGCTAAGCCCCTCCTCCCCTGGCCCATTGCCCAGTCTCGATATCTATGCTATACTCAAAACATTTATATAATTATGTATTTACCTAATTGGTATGACGTTGAAAACTTTCAATATTAAATGAGTTAATTAAAACAGGTGAAAACTAGAAAAATTGAAGTACAGTAAAACGTATGAGAGAAAAATTTTCATTGTTTTGAACAATAAAATTATCCCCTTTCTATTATGATAAATGCTAATTTGCTTTAAGCTGTCCTCTATTAGTGCCCCTTTAATTACATCTTTTCATATACTTATCAAAGACTAGAATTTAAAGAAAAGAAAGAAACGAATTAATGATCTTAAACAATCCTCACTCTTTTTTTCAAGACCCTTTTCCCGTTTATTTTATCAAAACCTCAAATATTTGAAACGTCAACTTCTCAGGTCCTGAAGTGACTTCATAAAAAAGTCATCCATCCAGGATCTGTTATTCATCATACCGATTATTTGTAAGAGTATTGATCAATCTACATTTTTTTTCAAAGTGCGTCAATATGGTCGATATCAACGCACTTTGAAAAAAAATTATTTTTTTCAAAGTGCGTTATAGCTTTCCCAAATTTAACGCACTTTGAAAAAATTTTTCAAAGTGCGTATATAACCCACCATATTACATTGTAAATATACACCGTAGATCAAGTTTTTTAAAGGTATATAATTTGTGAATGAATGACAACAGCAGAATTCGTTATCTATAGGTTCAAAAATATGTTGACCCATTTAATTTAAATCATCGGTTTGCATGAATACACTTAACAGAAAATTCATTGCATTAGCAAAACGAAAGTAAAATATTTGTTAATATATCGAATTGACAGGTAAGTATTCTATTCTAGTACAGTGTTAATGAATACATACTTTAAATCATATTTCATGTACATCATTCTAATATCTTATTTTTATTTCCATATGATACTTTTTTTATTAATTTGATATTATAGCTTGTAAAACTGATCTTCTTAATAAGTAACTGGTAATATAATCAATCATCTGAAAATTATTTATGCCGGGCAATAAAATGACAAAGATATGAAATTCAATGATTATATTTACATATATACTGTAGATTGGCAAAAAATCACGATGGTTTTAATTTCGCTATGTTCGTGATTTATTATTTTTTGCGAAATTAAACCCATTGTAAATATTATAATTAGTTTTTTTATAATGTGAAATTTAATGAAATTAAACATTTACATCATATATGTGTGTCAAACAGGTAAATATATTTTTATTGAATTATTCCCAGTTAGCAACAGAAATGGCCACCACACAAGGACAGGATATCATTTGCTGTCAGTTTTGTCCAAACCCTGTAGAACATCACTGCAATCTTTGTCACGTGGACCTCTGCCTCTCTTGCATACCAAAACACATGGCTGACAAATCAAGGGAACATGAAGTTGTTGGATACTCTTTCAGGAAAAAGCACCCTTTTACTCCACCTCTTTGTCTAACACACAAGATTAACCGATGCGAGACATACTGTCAAGATTGTAGTATACCAATTTGTATTCAGTGCATGATGGGCTCGCACAGAAAACATGAATTTACTGATATTAGTGATATTCTTCGAGAGCATAAACAGAAAATCAAATCAGATACAGAAGAACTGGAAAATAGAATTGTTCCAAAATACAGAAACATAAACTTGAGTACAGCCACAACAGAGTTTGATAAGGTTCTTTCTGTCATAAAAGAACAAGAAGATAAGCTCTGTAAAGCGGTACGTAAAGCAAGCATTCAACTCACAGAGGAAGTAACTGCACAGAAAACAGAAGTTATAAGTAAATACAAAGAAAACCAGTATTCGGTTGAGAAAGAAATTAATCAAATTGTCCAAAAGAATAAAGAAACCCTGAAAGACAATGATGCCACGGTCATACTTAACTACCAATCACAAAATAATGATTTTCGAAGTGGCCCAGAACTACCAAGGTTTTCTTGTCCAAAGTTGATTGCTGGTATAGTTAAACAAGACCAAATTGTTGGCATGTTCGGTTTCCTTCAAAACGGGGATGACATGGAGAAAAAACCTGAAATGCTGAAAATGATGGATGTTCCTATGGTTCTAGGTACCATGCAGATTCCTTTTGGAGGTATGTTCAATCTTTGGAGTGTGCAGTGTGTGGGGAAAGATAAAATCTTGACCAGTGGAGATGACGCACAAATCAAAGTAATAAACAGGAGGAATGGAATCATTTTAAAAGCAATTGAAACAATATATAATGTAAGGGCACTAACAATTAATTCACAACTGAAACCAGTGTTTTCAACTTATCTAAAAACAAATATTTACCGGTATAAGAACACAAGGGAAAAAGTGGAGGTATTACTTGACACACCTGACTGGTTTCCTGTTGGTCTTTGGTATGCAGTAAACGGAGATTTACTAGCGAGTATGCGTTCCACAGATAGGACACAGAGTAGAGTGGTGAGATACTCAGGGAATAAAGAAATTCAGAAGATCCAGTATGACAGTCAGGGACAACCTCTGTTTTCTACTGGTGTACGTCAAACTGTACTTCACCTGACTGAGAATGGAAATGGTGATATCTGTGTGGCTGACTGTGCTGGGAAGGCAGTTGTTGTAGTGAATTCTTCTGGGGGATTACGATTCAAGTATACTGGCAACCTCTCCATCCAATCAAAGTACAGAGAGTTTAGACCATCTCATATTACTACTGATGTCAATACTCAAATACTAATAAGTGACACCTCAAACGAGATTGTTCATATTATAGACTGTGATGGTAACTTTGTCCGTTATATTGACCACCCAGGTACTGGAGGACTGAGTATTGATGGTGACCATAACCTTGTTTTAGGACACTTGCACACTGGAGAAATTAAATTTATCAAATATCTAGAGAGTTGAACAGTTTGAATTAATGATAAAGAAAAAAAAATATTACAATCTGTTATGATCATGTGTCCTCTGACTGCCTGCATGTGCACAATTTTTTTTATCAGTAAGAAAAATATAAAAAACAATGTCAATGGAGAAACATGTATAGAAATTCGTAATGCGCTGATATTTTAAGTGCTTAAGTTCTATGTAATTATAAATACTAACCACATTTCATTTGTTCTTTGTAAATGTGAATTAATACTAACCACAGAGAGAAATCTATTAAACTATTGAAGAACTTGCATTATACGATATTATTTTCTTCATTTGGTATTTTATTTTATTAACTTTTTGAAAACAGCATTTACAATGATTAAATACGAAGAGTGAATGACGAAGAGGAATGACTTCTTTCAGTAGAATTATATATTATAATAGCCCTAATCACGACCACAACACATTTATTTGACCAAATAATCCTGATGTCAATAAATCTAGAAAAAAAGTTTCTTGGTTATCAAAACCCTTGTTTTCTTTCGATATAGAAGGAGCAGAGAAGATTTTCAAAGAAATTATCCATTATAGCTTTGACGTATTTGACACAGCCTTAATATCCAAAGCCCCCAAAACAGAAACTTTTCATAACAAATCATGCCAAAATCACATACAAATCATATCAAACTCACAAATTCATGATTCTGTACTATGATTTAGTCATGATCCCTTAAATGGATCATAGAAATCAGATGACAAATAAAGAAGGATGATCCTGATGTGGTTTGTTTCTGGGCTATGAGCTAGTCTGTTATGATTTTCTTGCGATTATGGCATGTGCTTTAAACTTATTAGAACATGTGCCTTTGTTAGAAAACAAAAGAACATAAGTTTGAAATGATTCGTTTACTTTAACTGTTAAAAGTTTTTGATTTTGATATGATTTCTTAACTTTGTCTTTCAACTCCATACGAGTTACACATGATCTGTAAACTTCTCTGTTGAGATGATGAGTTTTATATGATTTGTTAACTTTTTCAGAATTGGTTGTTAGATCCTGATATGGTTTGTTAACTTTGTCATCTATGATAGGTGAAAATGCAAGCTTTAAATTCACTCTAGCTTTGAGAATCAAGCAACATCCATACATCAATAATAGCCATATATTTAAAAGAGGACAGGAAAATTAAGTTTTAATGATTAAAATATTTTTTTAAGTTGAATAAAATGACAAATAAATAAAAACAATAATTTATTTATAAATTGACACACAAGTATACTGTTTGAATAATACAGCCAGGATTTTTAAAAATCTTTTCTTCATACATTTGCAATCCACTCCCAATCTAACTCTGAGGCATCAGATCAGGCTTGGCTCACTGGTCAGTTTCAGAGTCATTGTAACCTCGGGAGATCATTTGCTCGGATTATATTTACATGACGTCATAGTTCATGTGACATATTTGTATAATATATATATTTTTAAATTTTGGTAACTGAAATTATATATCAAATATTAAATGGATCTTCATTGCAAAATCAAAGTGTTTGATAAATTGTATACATGTATTAAGAAGTATAATTTTCCTAGGAGTTGTTAGCTTTAACAGATCATACCAAGATCATGGTTTTTAATACGAGTTGTCAGCTACATGTACAACAGATCATACCAGGATCGCGGTTTTAATACGAGTTGTTAGCTACAATAGATCATTACCAGGATCATGGTTTTAAGACGAGTTGTTAGCTACAACAGATCATACCAGAATCATGGTTTTAAGACGATTTTTTAGCTACAACAGATCATACCAGGATCATGGTTTTAATACGAGTTGTTAGCTACAACAGATCATACCAGGATCATGGTTTTAATACGAGTTGTTAGCTACCAATAGATCATACCAGGATCATGGTTTTAAACGAGTTGTTAGCTACAACAGATCATACCAGGATCATGGTTTTAAGACGAGTTGTTAGCTACAACAGATAAAACCAGGATCATGGTTTTAATACGAGTTGTTAGCTACAACAGATCATACCAGGATCATGGTTTTCTTGTTAGTTGCTTAGTTTAACAGATCATCTAGAGAAGAACCATGAACCATTAGCTCATTTGCATTTAAAATTTTCCTATACCAATATCATATCATAACCATGATTTACACACGAGTCTTTAGCATGATCCCATTTTTTTTCTTTCTGTTTGGGGTCCATGACCAAGGGTCCAAAAATTCCAAATTTGGAAGAGGTACCTTCACAATCATAACTATGCACTTAGTTAAAGCTGCATTAAGACACAGATTTGAAGGTAACATTTTTTCCATATACTGTACTAAGTAATATTATGACTTATATAATTGCAATAGCATTTCACATGTACATATAATTTGAAAATATTATTTCATCTAAAAGTTATCAAAATTTTTTTGGACAGATTTAATGGACACATCCTTGCACTTTTAAAAATTTTAATTTTATTTTCTATACTTAGGAAAAATGGCAGTTTTGTTGTGTATTAATGAAAAAATGTTAACATCCTTTAGTATTGAAACAACGACACTTAATTCGGCTTTTGACGGCTGACCCTCGCCTCTGACAGGCCAGCCTAAAATTATTGACAAGTCGGCCCATATAATAGGCACCTGGGCCCAAATAAATTATATATTTCGCAATTAAATATTGCTCCCGCCAAAGCATCTTATAGATTGGCTGGCCAAGCTCTCTTAAATCTCGGGCTGACCTGGTGGAGCCCAGATGTCATTGGGACTAGGTGTTGTTGGGCCAAGGTGCCAGACATTCCGACTATTTTACATATTACCTTTACACAGGAAGATTAAGTAAACTTGACTAATTGATTCCATAGAAATAGGCGGAGTTAGACGTTTTTAAGCAATTAAGTTTAATGAAAGTGAACATCGTATTAGGCAAGATTTCAGAATAAACAGCATCGACATTGACAATTTACACTGTATCATCCTATCAAAAATAACAAAATTACTAGTGAAAGCAAATGATAAATACAATAATTTATTTATCTCCTTTTTAATTTATAATAAATCATCACATTACTAAAGAAACATATAGTTTGACAATGAAATATTCAATTTAAAATGAATTGAAATGATAGGGAAAATGAAAATGTGCAATTTTTACTGTTTTTTTGGCTACAAAGTTTCACAATAATTGTTTTAAATATGATATACAGTAATCATAAATATACATTTAATGGATGCAGTAAATCAAGTTGAAATAAGAAACTCAAAGTTAGATGTATTTCTCAAACAGAGCAATTTGCAATGACTTTAATTTACTAGAAGAAGAAAAAGAACTTGTCAATGACCTTTTGCTTTCAAATTAGAAAATATTTGGATGTAGTTTTCCAGCTTCATTCCTTTTGCATTAATAATAAATTATTTAAAGTGAAATTTAGCAAGGTACAAAACATCTCTATAACTACATGTACTAAGATTCACCGTGCATAACCCCACATATGAGGGCGCGGAATGGTGCCACCCGGGGGTGAAGAATTCGAAGCGGAATTTTCAATGTTCGTTGACCTGATTAGCTTTCCTACAGTGATTGAGATGAAATTAATCCTAAATTCACTTACGGCGGAACACAGTGATATCCCAGCTTACTGTTACTCGTTTCCCAGCTCGGAACTCGTCCTAGAAATACATGAACACTTCTGCAATATCTGGCAAGAGCATGCGGGAACGCAAATTTGACCGTTTCTTTGTGAAAATTGGTGCCTGATATATTACTCAGCTTCATTTGATTTATGTGAGGGACTTTTAGATATGATTTTGCTCCAGACACTATAATGTTTCGAAGAATTCGACCTCAAATAAAGGGGACAGACTTCAATATAAGTGTGTGGCACTCGGGGGTGAAGATTTTAGTGGAGCCAGGGGGAAGGAATAAATCTTTAACTAATGGAAAGGAATCGTTTCTATAAAAATTATATTGATTTTACAAACATTGAATTGCTACAATAAATTTATTAACTCTCTTATAATTTCATAAACCTTTTTCCTGAATAAGTGCGCTTTAGCGCATATTTAAACTGTTTACTAGATATCTATTTGTATATTTCGATATAATTTAATTTTAGTTGTAACACGTCATTTGATTGGATAAAAGATTTGATTTATATTGTATCACATAACTTGGCTACGTCACAATGAGCTACGACAAAAACGTTTATACTTCGCTTGACGTTAATTTTAAAATTTGCTCAGTTTGAAGCCATTTTTGGAGGAAAAAATTGTCTCTTTGTTTACAATGAAATTATAAGGAATGAAGCTTAATGTAACCCATGTTATACGATACATGTATGTACATAAATTGGTCAAAGTTATGTTTTTTCGTACAAGTATATTATAGGTTAAGATAAGACCGCGGAACATTAACTGGCAAAATTGGAAATATACAGCTTACGTCATTTCTATCTGTTACAATCGAAACATTCAGTGATAGACAACGAAATGGGCGGGTACAATTCGACGCGGACGTGAGGAAAACATTGGATTGAAATTGCAGATCGAAATTCATTTTCAATCCACTTGAGCTGTTTTCAAAGCAAAGAGGGAATGAATGATCCAAAAATCAAGTAATTTCAACTCCGATATACATATTTTTTGAAGTTCACATTAATATATACGAGTTTTAGCTTTAGATTTGAAGAACGTGAAAGATCATAGAAGACAAAGTTTATTTTTCAGGAGATATTTGATTCTAGAAGAGGGGCGGGGGGTAAAAATTGTCGAGTCAGGTCATGGCTTAACATGACAATATATTTTATTTCTAGGATTATAAGAGTGCATGAGTTTTATCTTATTCTCACTGAAAACTTTATTTAAAAATCGTCCAGCCCCCCCCCCCCTCCCCCCCAAGACAAAGATATGCATATATTTGCCAAACAGAAATGAAATATTTGTCCCTTAGATATTATTTTATTTAAAGCACTGGATAAAAAAAATTCAAACTTCAAGTTTACCAAATTAAAATTATTTGTCTTCTGGGTCAATCAGTAATAATGTGCCTTTATATAGCCTAGCTGAGGTGGATTGAAAATGAATTTCGATCTGATGTTTTCACCACGTCCGCGTCGAATTGTACCCGCCCATTTCATTGTCTATCACTGAATGTTTTGATTGCCAGTTAATATTCCGCGGTCGTAAGATTCATTCCTTAAATATACTTAAGGTATATACATATCTTTCTTTTACAGTAAATATAGAACTTGAGCAATAGTTAAGAGTACATATTACATTTATACTACTTGTTAGTCCGTTATTTATACACTGAATTGACGAGGGATTTTCCAGTTGATGATAAGGGGCATACGGCTGGTGTGACCGGTCGGCAGGGGATGCTGACTCCTCCATGGTACCTGATCCCACCTCTGATGTTTAGCAGGTCCGTGTTTGCTCTGCTCCTGTTTTGTATTGTTTTATGAACTTTTGAACTTGAATACTGTTCATTATCTCCATATGTTCCATGTATATAGAATTGATTTAGAATTTTATATCCGCGTGTTCATGCAGTGAAGTTAATTAAATATACTGACTATTGAAAGGAGAGGAGCTAACAAGGCGTTCAGAATACCCATAGCTTCAAATATATAAAAATCATATTCAATTTGTGAAAAGGATCTAGAGTAAATTTATTATTATTCAAATTAAGATAAACAAAACCTTTCTGAGAAAAATTTTCTCGAAAAAAAATTATTCCAGACCTGTTATTGTAAATGGTATTCGTGGGGTTCGAACCCCCTAGCAATAAAAACATTGAGTATCACCACAGGCACTTGAGGGCTGGACCCCCCTTTTTTCACATCACCTTTACTATTAAAAATGTCCACTGAAAGGTTGGTTGGACCCCCCCACTTCTTACTACAGTATAGTGATATCAAGGAAATGTAGTATTGTATCACTATGCAAAATAAAAATTTTAAAAAATTTGACCACTACCCCCCCCCCCCCCCCCCAACCTCGAAATAGAAATTCCAAATTTGCTCAAAATCCCTTCCTTCTTTTTTGCTTGTCAACTTTTACAGGTAAGTAACATTTTTCTTGCTCCCCTTTAAAAAGGTCGCATGTAGCATCGTTTTTACCCTCCCCCCTGTTGCTACGTGCCTGTTGTTGCAGAGATTTTACCACAGTGATCAATAAGATGATTAATGACACATTTTATGTTTGTTTAACTTTGATTTTGTTAAGTATTTCCACAGATTTCACAGGGAAACCGCGCGTACTTTCAACTTCTACACGAAAAATACATTTGAAAAAAAGTGAGAAACTTAATTCTAATTACACTTTATAATATTTATCCAATTTCTTAAACAACATATCTATGTTAAGCTAAACATAAAAGACAGTTCCAATTTAAATTTATATACCAGGATCTTAACAATTAAAACAATGCAGATTTTAAGAATTACGATTGATATACAATGATTAAAAATTATTCCTTCCCCCAGCCTCCACTAAAATCTTCACCCCCGAGTGCCACAAACTTATATTGAAGTCTGTCCCCTTTATTTGAGATGGAATTTTCCGAAACATTAGAGTGTCTGGAGCAAAATCATATCTAAAAGTCTCTAACATAAATCAAATGAAGCTGAGTGATATATAAGGCAACAATATTCACAAAGAAACGGTCAAATTTGCGTTCCCGCATGCTCTTGCCAGATATTGCAGAAGTGTTCATGTATTTCTAGAACGAGTTCCGAGCTGGGAAACGAGTAACAGTAAGCTGGGATATCACTGTGTTCCACCGTAAGTGAATTTAGGATTAATTTCATCTCAATCACTGTAGGAAAGCTAATCAGGTCAACTAACATTGAAAATTCCGCTTAGAATTCTTCACCCCCGGGTGGCACCATTCCGCGCCCCCATATGTGGGGTTATGCACGGTGAGATTGCCAATTTCAGTTGTACAAAAATTACGCATCAAATCGCTTTACTGCAAACCAACTTTTACTCCCCTCAACTTGATAAATGATCAATAATAGCACCAAATCCTCTACACTCACAGCATTAATACATGTATTCGTCATTTTTGAAACTTTGGAAAATTTAGAAACCTGGTCTGTGGGGCAATAAAACTTAGGTGAGCTTATTTTTGAACTGTGTCTCACTTTTATCAAAAGAATATATAGCAGAAAAGTGAGATCAAGATCAAAAGTGAGCTTGTCAAATTTTAATGGCCTCCAAGCCTGAAGATTTTGAGCACACATATAAATTAAAATATGTGTACTGATGGGGCAAAGTCATAAAAGTTATAAGGGTGTATTTAACATATAAATGAACATTTAAATACACATCTTAAAGTTTAATACTGTGATCAAAGACACAAATACCCGGTAACAATATAAAATGTAATCCAAAAGCAATGATGTATATCATCTTATACATGAACAATATAAATTGTTTTGAGCAATTGGTAATTTTGAGGTATATATTTCATATTCTGATATGAAGCAAAAAGGACAAAGATTGTCAATAAAAATACAAGTATTGATGGAAATATCAAAGTAAACATACAAGTACAGTAGAAATATTTTTTTCATATATATGTAGTATGGATTCACACTATATGCCTATGTATGAAGATGCAGATTTTCCAGCTACTATGATCATTTTTGAAAGCTTAAAGTATAGTCAACATTATATCATTTTTAAAAATCCAATATTCCCTAAAGATATTGCACAAGATTGAAAAACATCTTATAACAGTAAAAATATAACTACATACAGAATATCAACATCTAAGAAAATTATTTAGCAACATAGAACATCATTTCATGTCATATATGTTGCAGGCAAGTGCATCGACTTAAAAATAGAAAACTGAATGATCAAGATTAAACATGTACTGAATATAAAGATATTATTATCATAAAACATTTTCAAGGGATTTAACATATTATTTTGCATACATAGTCATGATAATAAATATGATTACAACTAACACAACTTATATTGTATAACACGCATGTATACTGAGAGCGAAGTGATTGTCTTTTTGCTTTAAAGTTAAAAACTAAATTTGAATAAAATTACATACTGGATAGTATAATAAATAACAGCTGAACTTTCATATCTTAAAACTTGGATATCTCAAATAACATGGATTTGTCAAAGTGAGTTAGTACTCCTTCAAGTAAGATTCCCGGTAACTGTAGATTCCTTATTTATCACGAGAACTTAATATTGTGAATGGGCTCTTCAGCGTCGAATCGCGAGAATAATAATTCGCAAATGAACGGTTGGTCAAGATATTTTACACAGATTTCAGCACCATGAAAATAAAGTCGAGTGATTATATTTCACTAGTGGTGCTTCTCACGAAATTACGCAATAATTAATTCCACGCATATATTTAGGAATCTACAGTAATGACCCTACACTCCTGATATACTTACACATCGCCAAGTCAAGTATCTCGCTGTGAACCTCTAGCATGCTAAAGTAACTGAGTTAGAAATCTAGAGCACTTTTTTTTTAGAAGTACATGTATTTTTACTCCCAATTTCTCAAACCCTCAGATATCTCTAAGCTTTGTCTGGGTCCCACTGAATTGCATCTTCGCTAGCAAAAGGTTTCTGATACGCTACTCTCCTTATAATCCCTTGGCATACCGAGTTGACAGAAGTTGTTGTTTTTTTTCTCGAGTTCTGATTTGGATTTGGTAAACCCAGTCAACCAATCAGCAAATGTTTTTTTTTAAATGACACTATTTGCATTTGGGATCCTTCTTGACTCTTTAATCTCAGAATTGTAAAAAGCAAGTAAACAACAATCCGTAAGATAACATGCAATTCTATGAATAGCTATGGTGTCATCCAATATCTTCTAAATATGTGATTAAGAATCTATATTGAAGCTTCAGGTTTGTACTATAAATAATTAATAAACATAACTCAACTATTTCTTCTTAATCATTCTTGACAATTAACTTTGATTTAATATTTTTTAAACACGTACGCGTCTTTATTTCTGTCGATGATGCAATATGTGTGTACCTGATAGATTCGAGATCATGTGACGAAAACATTCCCATCTTCTGACTTCATCGTATGCCAAGGGTTCATGAGGAAAGTAGCGTATCAGAAATCCTTGGCTAGCCAAGTTGATTATTGCGGAAATTTGTCCAAGCGTACTTTATATAAATGTAAGGCATATAGTGACAGTCTAAGAATTCCGCATAATTTTCAACCCATGGATTAAACAAAAATTGAGAGTCCACGAAATTATGACCCTGTGGGAAAAAAGTACATCTACAGATCCTGTAGCATTTTGACTAGGAAATTAATACTGAATCGGTAAATTAACTAAGTTTACTTATATATATGTAATGGAATTCTTTGATGAAAGAACACTAACTAAACAATTCCCTGAGATAATTATAATTAAAACATCATGCATAACACTGCCCTGAAATACAGTGTACATATAAAATTAACATTTAAATACTGTAAATCACTTTTTATTACTTCGCGTAAACATTCGCGAAAATTTAATTCTCGCGTATAATAGCATTCCTTAAGATTACATAGAGCTATAACCACAATTCGTGAAAATTTTGTCTCGCTAATCAAGAGTCAATGACTATCTCGCGAAAATAAGGTGTCGCGAAAATTTAGTGATCTACAGTACTTCAAACATGCCCAATACAAACTCTGTAAATGTAAAATGTAAAGTATATAATATGTTTATAATTTACATACAGTGGACCCTCAGATATCCGGACGCCAGATATCCAGATGCTTCAGTATTCGGACGCTTTTTCATCGGAACAGAATTTTGAAATGATATTTTGTCTTGTTGAACTGGTGATTCGGGTATCCGGACACTTCACATATCCGGACAAATTGACTGGGAACCAAAGCGTTCAGATAAATGAGGCTCCACTGTATATAAATAGGTATATGTGAAAAAAACATTCTAACTGATGAGGGTAAATTAAGGTTTATCATCCCACTGCTCACTTGGATAACATTTTTGCTTCAATGCTAATGATTTTCAAAAAAATATAAATGATATAAAATATGTAGTTAAAATGCTTATGATTTTTTCATATGTTACTAGGCAACATTTGACATAAATGGCCTTTTAATCTAGGCAATTTTATGAAGGAGGGGTCAGCAAACCTTAATTAAGCAAATTTATGGGTAAATATTCAAATAAATAATTGTTAAGGGTGGAGATTTTACAAAGGAAAAACCGACTCATCCATTTTAACATTTCGGGGGTTATCCTTCCTAAAGACTACAGGGAAAGACCAAGCCACCTTAACACAAAACAAAGAACACTTATACATGTTTTACTTATTTGGCCTTGTTTCATTCATCAAACAGAAACTGTAATAATTCAGGCAGCTGCTCAATAAGGAACTTATCCTGGCAGATCTTCTTATACACCATCAGGAACTCCTCGTTCAGGCCTCTCAGTTTGATGAAGACGTCCATGATTTTGGCCAACTGACGACCGCTTCCTTCCCCATATCTCTCCTTAAGGAGGTACTGCAAGACTTTTAGCAAGTTAACCTGAATTTTCTCCACTGCCTCTGGGTTTTCTAGGGAACAGCGATCTACAAAAGTGAAACTGCATAATAAGTTACTCTACATTGCCTGATTCTATCATTTGTAAGAGCTGAAAGAAGAAAAAGTACATTTTTACAGGTCTTGGGGGAAAACCAATTATTTAAAGTTCATGCAATTAACAACTTTTTGTAAGTAATAATTCATATCTTATCTGCATGGACTTGTAATATTATAGAACTTTCTGAAAGGCCACAAGGTGCTAATTATATATTGTGTTCACTAAACATTTTAATGCTTTCTAACTCAGACTGAAAATCTTTGGAATTATGTCTAAAGAATGATTTTTTTTTGGTTAAACTAATGCCCTGTTCACACGACGAGTTTAATTCGCAGTAAGTTAATGCAGAGTAAACTAATGCGAATCAAATTAATGCAAATTAAATTGCGTTCACAAAACAGCTGATGCGAAGTAAACTAATGCGAATTAAATTTTTTCTTCTATAGTCAGGCGTCAGTAAGTCTATTATGACGTCATTTGTAAATCACGTCATGTATGCAGAGCCATCCTTTGATACACCATGTAGTGGCTACAGGTATTCATTGATTTCAGTGTTTAACATACTTTTCCTCAATTTTTGAACCAAAAATATCACAAATACCCATATATAACCACCAACACGTGTCCTGTGACTTAATTCTGGCCTTATGCATGCATCAAAATTTAATTCGAATTAGCTTCGCTTAGTGTTCACACGGTGCTAATGCGAAGTAATTTAATGCCCAGTAAATTAATTCAAATTAAACTAATTCGCATTAAATTCTCCTTGTGAACGCTAAGCGAAGCTAATTCGCAGTAACTTTACGTTTAATTCGAATTAAACTCTCCATGTGAACAGGGCATTAAAAAAATTAAGAGTGTATAAAAAAAACAATAAAAAAAAAAATTTAGATCAAGAAGCAATTTGAATGATTATCATATGTAACAAAGTGGACCCTCAGATATCCGGATGCCAGATATCCGGATGCTTCAGTTTCCGGACGATTATTCATGGGAACCGAATTTTTTAACATTATTTTGTCTCATTCAACTAGTAATTCAGATATCCGGACACTTCAAATATCCGGAAAAACTGAATGGGAACCAAAGCATCTGGATAAATGAGGCTCCACTGTATATAAATACATGTAACTTTGTTAATCACTAAATCTGTAGCTTAATTCTCAGCCAACATATGAACTTTATAAGTTAAATAATGGTCCATATTTTGCCCTTAATTCAAAAGTTGTTAATCTAATTAATATGCAGTGTGTCTATACCATATCAGTGATAAATACATTAAGCAGAAGGGGGAAAAAGATGTTTCAAAAAAGAAGTTGCCATGATTTTAAAATACTGTAAAACAACATTATCTCAAACTCCATCGGGACCTAGGAAAAAACTTTTGCCAATGAGATGGTGTTTGATTTTAGATAAAATCAAAGTTGAAATATATAAGCATATAGTGGTTCAGCTTTCACTATACTTTGTCAGTTTGACATATCCATGGAATGGGACAATGATATGGAAGTTAAAGACAACAAATATTAACTTTTTATAAATATACACTTATTTATTTCCTATTTAGCTTAAAACATGAGACATGATCGGTTAGTAAACTGGCTTGAGACAGGGATTAAAGATGTAATATCACATTACATAGTGTCTATGTCACAAAAATATGTCACGAAGCATTGTAGCCATGGATTGTAAATCTTATCAATTTGTATAAAATCAGGGGTAAATCATCTTATACTCTTGATTCAATCCAATTAAAATCAATGTTAGATCTGAATGCAAACTCGCAACACTAACATCTAACAACATCCCATAGAGGTCATACACTCAGAGGTCAAATTCTATCAACCAATCACAACACCTGCAGAGTCATCGTACATTTGTTGAAGCATCTAGAGTTGTTGTGAATTTGACCTCTGATGTGACCTTCTATGGAAATCCGAATGTTGTTAGATGTTAGTGTAACAAGTATGCAAGTGGATCTAATAACTTATTTTAATTAGATTGCTCTTGATTGAACCTGGATGACTAATAATATGTTAGGGAAATAAAAAAGAGATAGTAGCACACACAAACCAGTAAATGTTAGACAAATTGCCAACATGGCTGCATGCTCCTTGGGCAGAAGTTGAAGACGGCGAATGTCACATGACACTTCTAGCCATGACGTAGACATGCCCTCGGGGGCGTAGGCACAGAACTGCCTGATGGGAAGGACGTGACCTGTGTACGACACCATCATCCCTGTCTCTGGGTCCAAAGTCCTGTAGCACAGCATCAGGAAAAATTCAAGTCTGGCAGCTGAAAAAAAAAAATTCAAAATTAAGTTTGAAGAGATACCATAGACAAGTATAAATATTCTGCTTAAACTATAAAATTGCATATTTTATATTTGATTAAATTTAATACGAAAATAACTTGCAAAAAAGAAAATTTTAAAAGTAACATATAAAAATCTATTAACTGGACAAAATTAATGTATTATAAAGGGGAAAATTGTCTACACATATTATAATTAGTTATAACCATCAATGCTGATGTATTGGTATTCAGTTTATATGGTTCTGCTCATGTGTTGTGGATAAAGTTAACAGTACAAATAACAAAACAATATGAGAAGAGAGTTATTCCCTATTTTACATTTTACAGTACATCCTGAAGTGTAATTGTGTTATAAAAATGACCAATAAAACACCAACCCTTTAGAAGCCCTGCTTGATCCTTCCCAGGTAAGTCTTTGAATGCTGGGATACCATGAGTAAAGCGCACGTATTCGTGGATAACAGTGACCAGTTCTGTCCGAATCAGCTCCAGAATTTTCGTACGTCCGTCGATATCCATGTTGGTGACGTTGAAGATTTCGTTGTAGATGTTGGCGGGGAGGGGGTCCATGTTTCCAAACAGTTGGATTTTCTGGTTATATTTCATCTAAAAATAATTTTACGTTATAAAACTATGCTAGTATGTAACAAAAATTCTTAATATATAAATACATATGTATTATATGCTAAGTTTGATGTGGAAGGCTCTTCTATGTATATGACTGAACTTGAAATGACACATGTGGGTGACTGTACAAATCTCAAGGACTATTTGGCATGAACTGAGCAGTAATGGTTCTGATACATTATCAAAGTACTACAAGTACTGAGAAGTACAACCTCTACATAATGAATTTAACACTACAAAAATATTGATGTGTCATGTGTTATACAGGACTGCACCACAATACTGTAGTAAAATCATCATCATGAGATAGATTTTCAGCAATTTAAAAATTCAAATGACGACTGAAAACAATTCAATGCCTCCACTTCTTTGCTCAAATTTGAAATGGACAATCATTATGATAATAAAATTCTTCCGTCGTTCCTCTTCTTAACAATTGCCCCATCCTACTTACATATCCATCTTGCAGTAAGGCATGGATTTGCTCATCAGCCATGTCCTTGGTGAACGGCTTCATCTCGTTGTATCCTCTCATCAAACTGTCCGTGAACGCCTGAATGGTTTGCTCCTCTAAACCCTCTAAGATATCACCAGCCATTACAGGAAGTAATGGAATGTTTACACTGGAATTCTGGGAAAGCATTGCCATGGAATGTGACGTGGACCCCGAATCCTCACTGTGTACACTGATGTTTGGGAGAGAGGCTTGTGTCTTGATCATTGTGGGATTAGAGCTGCCATTTTGGGATGAATCAGGTGAGGGATTTTCTGTGGACGGGAGTCTATAACCTTTGACATGACCTTTGACTGACAGAGATCTAGATGAGGAACTATTATCATGGGATCCAGATGAACCTGGGGATGAAGAAAGGGATTCTGATGTGGATTGCACATACAATGATGTTCTAGTATGATCATCTAAGGGAGATAAGTCAGTTTCACACTTTATAGAACAGTTTGAGTAATGTCCCTTGCTCGTGTCTTCCTCCTCTTTAAGTCTCCTCATTTCTATAATGGCATTTGTTCTTTCTTGAAGTGTGTATCTACCCTGGCGTATTCCTACCAAAATAATGAAAGTATAGATTTAATTATACATGATAAAAATAAATTATCCCCTTGCAACACAGTTGGTAAAAACAATAACAAATTTGTGTGTGTGTTTGTTGTTTGTGAGTTAGTGCTGTGCAAAATAGAAGTGACATAATTTGCAGTGGGATCAATAACCAATGCTGCCATGATTTATATATACAAATGTACAGGGTGTTATAGAAAACTTGCAATCAATTTGATTAATTTCATTCTACTAGCAGATGTTTCATCCAATACCTGATACCATATCAAATTTCAAGATTAATTCCTATAACTAATAAGGGATCATGAGCCAGTATTACTTTTCCAGTGAATGCTCTACTACAAGGAGCCTTTGATGTAAAGACTTTTTTCACTTTAAAGTTACATATGCATGTATGGGGAAATTTTTGCTCTTGTTTTATTTTTGCTCTTTTTGCAACTGTTGCAATAGGGCAATTTTAAAACAGGATCAAAATGACATACCTTCCTTTGACATTCCTACACTAAAACACTTCTGCAGACGACAGCCAGAACATAACATTCCCGTGGTCTTTAGAATGTCACAGTTACCTCCCTTGGTACATTTATAGGGCTCCTTCTTCTTCAAAAAGCGTCGAAAAAATCCCTGTTCAATAAAACAGTCAATTATAAATCACTTTTACATTACTTTGCAGTGTTTTACATGACCCAAAATCACAGCTGAATACAGACAGTTTCACAAATGAAATGAGGCTAATTTAATAGCCTCACAATAAGTTGGGAAATATAAGCTTATATATCACAGAGGACCTCATACCTGTATAGCTTGTTGGACCAGAGATTAACTTCCAAAAAACTGACTTATAGGCAAATATATACGGTAATAGGAAATATTAGCGAGCGTTGCAAAGGGACGCTTGTAACTGCAAGCTCTAACGACAATGACTGGGCGAAGAGAAAATTTGGACTAATACACATTCATTCCATAAAATTTTTTGCCACAGTAATTTTGACCCACAATGCACCGCTTCGTACACAAACGTTAAAGCCACATTCTCGCAAGAATAACAATAAAAGTTAAAAGAAAAATAAATTTGCCTTGATTTAATGAATTTATCTGTTTTTTGCACAAAATAATCGTACACTAATTGAAATCAGCCCTGTTCAGACTTCGGTTTGGTAAAGCAACATGCAAACGACGTCATATGACATCAGAGTCTTATACACACCAAAATATATATGATAATAAGAAATATTACCTTGCGCTCGCCCTAACGGTCGCACCGTCAATATATTACTTTGCAAGTTTACACCATGATAAAATAATAAAATTTCATCATGAGTTTAAACAACCATTAATTTACCTTACAGGCTTCGCAGGAGTTGACCCCATAATGAATTCCAGAGGCAGGCTTCTCGCATATCTTACACGGTGGCAGCTGGAGGGGTACAGTGTCCGGCATGTATTTATTTCTTTTGGATCTCTGTCTCTTTGATCCTCCTGCCTGTTTTTCTGATTTAGGCTCCGCCTTTCTGTGTTCTAGCCCCTCCTCTTCTTCCATCTCTTTGTTTGTTAGCTGCTTCCTTTGCCTTTATATGGTTAGAATTGAAATGTTATTAGCCCCTTCCCTTTCTTGACCTTTATGTGTTAGCACTCCCCTTCCTCTGTTAGCTTCTCCTCTGCCTTTTTATGTGTAAGTCCCCCCCCCCCCCACACACACACACACAGACACACACAAAAAATTCAATATCATAATTATGATCAAATACAATTCTAAATTTTCAAATAAATATTGAAATGGAATGTATTCATAAAATTAAAACAGATATTTATGAGATGAAATTAAAAAAAATTATGATGAATTTATTGTTTAAAATCAAATCATGTTAATCATGTTAATTAATAAACATTTTCCTTGGTATTCTATAAAAAAAAAAACCAGTCGGTTGGGAAAGGCAAACAAACAAAGAAAGGCAGACACAGCTCACTGCCAAAACAACACTATTCCTACACTATGTACGTGCAACAGTGCATGGGGCTCTGCAGTAACGGAGGAACATACAAAATACAGATGGCAATTAACATTTCCGAACGTGGCATAAATCCTTATACATGTATTTTCATCCCGATGTTACATTTGTTTTGTTCCTGGCATAGTGACACCCCCTCCCCCCATTTTTTTACTCATTCCGTAAATGCATATTCAACGCACCCCTCCCACTCTTTTTCACTTAGATGTTTAAATGATATTGGAATTCATACCCATTTGCAATAGTTGTTATTCGGTTTAAGTAGAAAAAAAAAATATGTAAACATTGCATGATAAATCTGCACCAAAGATCACTGCGCGTGGGACATCATTACTTATTTTTATAATGAAGAAAAAAATAATTTCCCTGCACTTTCTTCATGTGCGGTGTCCAGGGATTTATCATTTGCAGGGATAACTATGAAGGGTATATATAGGGAGGTGGATACAAAAATACTGATTGGTTGATAAATGTGTTTTAAATACAGGAGTGAAAGATAGTTGGTCGTCCAATGCTAAAAAGTGGAGAAATTCTCCCTAAAAGTGCTCAAAACAATTGTGTGTCGTAAATTGCACTTTTTTTGCATTATGGGATCTGTAGCCTTAAGGTCAAAGACAAATATATAAAACCATAGCACAACAGTTCTGCAGCTAAGTGACACCTAGCTGCAGATCTGTAGCGTTATGGTTTTATATATTTTTCTTTGACCATAACACTACAGATTCCGTAATGCAAAAAAAGTTGCAATTTACGGCACAATATTTTTTGCACTCTTTTGAGGAGAATTTCTCCACTTTTTAGCATTGCATGGTCAATCAACTACTTTTCACTCCCTAAGTCTAGACACACTCTGTAGCCAATATGTATATCTTATCCACCTCCCAACCCTTTATAGACGTCTCTACAGGCAATAAACTCGCTTGAAGTGAATTTTTAGCAATCTAACAAATAATTTTAATCCAGCGAGTTTATCTCTTGTAGAGAAAACTATAAAGGGTTGGGAGATGGATAAAATACACAGATAAAGGCCGTGTCACACTGTCACAATTTATGCTACGATTACCCACGAATTAATAAAAGTTGAAAATCGCCGTTCATTTCCAGGTTTGTCTTGCGAGAAGCGTGTCGAATATTTTGCTTAGAATGGTGTGTCTGCGATGTCTGTGCGACAAAGTACGAGGTTTGTCAGGGCTCGACATTAACTTTTTTCCCTACTTGTCCATTCGGACAAGTGACCAAGATATTTACTTGTCCGAACTTCAACTTCACTTGTCCGAAAATTTTTCAATGAATGTCTTGTTATGTCAACTTGAAAACAATTAAAAAATTAAATGTGCTTGTTATTGATAAATAATACAAACACATATAAAACTAAATTTTATCTAGACTTCCTGTCCTGACAATAGCATAAATGTTCGCAAGTGAATCTGTAATATCAATCAAATATATTCCAAACTCGCAAACATCGTAAGATCCACGCCATGCAATAGTATGGCTGCAATTAGTGAACATCGATCCCGATCAAGTGTGAACTTGCATAGCGATTGATATCGGGATCGAAATTCAGGTTTATGTACTGCTTCCGTTTATATTCGATAAACTTTACAATAGTTGGGTTTTTGTTTTATTATTATTATTTGTCAATGAAGACTTCTTTACATAGAAAAATCACTTGTCCAATCGGACAAGTGCCCAACAATATTCACTTGTCCGAAATTTTTTTTCATTGGTACCGGACAAGCGGACAAGCGTTAATGTCGAGCCCTGTTTGTACGATGTAAGTACGAACTATGGCAACAGCGTTAGAACTGGTTACGATATTTCTACAATTATGAAGGATTAAACGCGGTCACATACGATACTCGTACGAAGGACTAAGATATGCCACGTTACATACACGATATTGCCACAACTAATGGCGATTTCTTACGATTATACATGTAATGGAATGCATATACTAGTATAGAGTAAAGGGAGATTTGTCTGAAATCATTAAACAGCATAGTTCATAGTTACCGGTATGTTATTTGATCATGGTAAAAACTACAGTGTGGAACTTTTGATTATGTTCAATCTCTTCGTGTGTTTATTGGTAACGCTGTTTATAGTTTCTGTAACACATGTATTTTCAGTTTATTTCACTTTTCTAAGCTTCTTTCCTTTTATTTTAGGCAGTATTTTGATTTCGAAAGTGTTTACATCAGACACCGTCTGCCTACATTGTATCAAATCGTAGTTCAATCACAGTTTTCGTACAGCAATTGCCATCAATCGTCCTTTTTCGTGTCATATTCTTGGGAAAGACGTACTATGTTCTTATCATTTCGAAGAACACTCGCAGTATCTCGTAGGACACTCGCAGTAACTCGAGAGACACTCGCACAAACTCGAAGGACACTCGAAATAACTCGTAGGACTCTCGTAGTGTCGCGAGTACTACGAAGTTCCATGAATGTTGCACGAACTTTGAAGATTTACTACGATTATGAGTACAAGTGCAGTGCGGATGCTGTGCGATTGCCTATGAATAATAAAAAATCGTGCTGTGTCCACGATTGTTTTGAACATGCTCAAAACAATCACCAAGTATGGCGATTTGCTGCGATCCAACACGATTAAGGAAGATATCCTGCGAGTACTTCTGCGATAAATCCCGACTTGTTGCGATTTTTGAATTCATAGTGAATCGTGGCTATAAATCGTGACAGTGTGACACGGGCTTTAGTTAAATAATGTTCCTAGAAATAGGGAGTGAGAGGTAATTAATTGATCGATGCTGGAAAGTGGAGAAATTCTCCTCTAAAGAGTGCAAAAAATATTGCGCCGTAAATTGCACATTTTTTGCATTACGGGATCTGTAGCCTTATGGTCAAAGACAAATATATAAAACCATAATGCTACAGTTCTGCAGCTATGTGACCCCCCCCCCCCCCCCTCTGCCCTATTTTTTTTTTTTTTACTCATCCCGAAAATGCATATTCAACGCCCCTCTCCCTATTTTTTTTTAACTTAAATGTTTAAATGATAGAGGAATTTATACCCATTTGCAGTAGTTGTTTGGTTTTAAGTAGAAAAAAATGTAAACATCATTGCGCGTTGGACATCGTTACCGTTTTTTTTTTTAATGAAGAAAAAAATCAATTACCTGCACGTTGTTCGTAGTTATCGTGTGAGATGTCCAGGGATTCCTGCTGTCATTGAGATGACAACTGCACCTTCGAAAGTGTGAAATGATCCATGAGAGCACCTGACAACATCCTTTTGTATTAATAACATTCAAAACCATCTACGGTGAATTGTATTTTTCCGGAATATGTTTTTATTTTTTTCCTGAAGATCTGTGATCCGCACCTAACTTCTAAGAGACCATATTTAAGATATTCCATTTAGAAAAAAATATTTTAAAAGAAATTGTATTTTTTTCTACTCAGACACACAAAAATAGATTCCATAATTTTTTAAAATGTTTTTTGAAATGATGTAAGCGAGTGTTTTTGTTCAATGATATATGGGGCACCTTATCAACGATACAAACTCTGCTTTTTAGTCTGCTAATCTTGTGATTAATCAAGATTAAAGAACCTGTTAAAGCTGTTTATGATTTGAATAAGATCTTCACAAGGTAAGTCTACCAGTAGTTCTGTATTTTTAGTTAATTAATTGATAATAAATGAATATCACTGGATGTGTCAAAATGCAGAATATTTTTTACAGCGCTTTTATTTTGCGCGCTAAATACAATATTTCACTTGTTATGAAAATAAAATGTACTAGAGAAAAAAAAAAATCGTCATTTTAAGGAATGCCTACGGTTGTCAGGTAGCACATATATATTGGGTCATTCAATTATTTACACTACAGTGTACTTAATTATTTTAATTTATGAATGATTAATTATTATACAAGCACTTAAAAAGAGAAACTCATAATTACAATATTAATTAAGTCCTACTGATATCAAAATTCCATTTCTTACTATATTGTGCTAGTGTTACTGTATAGTACTGGTACAATATATTTATGATCTTAATTAGTATGAAATATTGAAAAAGACATCATGCTTATAATTATCAATCAATTGAAATATTGTGTAACAGGAAAGGAGAAAATGTAAAAGTTGGTCAGTGATTCCAACTCGGGACCCTATGAATTAAGACACAACCCAAGTTTTTATTAGGCCTTGAGAGGACTTTCACCTGCAATTCCATTGGTGGTCAACCAGGGATTTTCCACTACCCTGTGTAAGGCCGAATATGGGCCCCATTTGCAATTGCAAAACCTCTCCCTTTTTCCCAAAAAGGAACTGCCTATGTTTAATTTTTTAAAGACGAACTCAAGAAGGTTACCTGAACATGATTCACAAAATACAAACATGTTTTAATAGGTTTGGAAATTTGAATGAAATGAACAAAATTTTGTAGAATCTTGGGTAAAACTTTATTATAATGATCAATCCTCTAATTCACAGTTCTGAATAACTAGATCTAAGTAAAAGATTAATTTTTATTCATCTAAGTATTTATTTCTTGAAAAACATCATACAATAAAATTTCCCAATAAGTGATAAAATGTCGTAAAATTCCCAATTCCAAGGGCTTGGGCCCCATTCCCAAAAGTGAGTGGAAAATCCCTGGGTCAACGGCACCAAATCTGTAACAGGAAAGGAGAAAATGTATGGCTGGACCAGGAATCAAAGCTTGAATTCCTTTCATCACTCATAAATCAGGTGCTTTCCTGTAGACTGAGCTACCCAGGCCGATATCCATGCCCCGAACTATTACATTCCTCCCTCCTTAAATTGTTTTTGCCCTTGAAGACATTAAGCCAAGTCCTTTTTAGCCCCTGACAGGACTTTCACCCACAATTCCAGGGGTTGTCAATGACACCTGTAAATCTATAACAGGAGAGGAGTAAATGTATGGCTGGACTGAGAATAGAACCTGGGACCCCTGTATCTCTAGTCAGGTGCTCTACCAACTGAGCTATCCAGGCCGATATCCATATCCAAAACCATTACCATTGACAGACATTAATGATCCTAAATGCAGATTATCATCATGTATAAAAATCCAGACTATAACTGTGTATTATTGTTTAAAACTTTTTTTCTAAACAAGGCACATCTTCCACTATACATATTATATAGGTTTTTCCATCTCAAAATAGACATGAATATAATTTACAGTGTAGCCTCATTTATAACTGGATGCTTTGGTTCCTAGTCAATTTTTCCGGATATCTGAATTATCAGTTAAACAAGACAAAATAAGTTTAAAAATTCTGTTCCGATAAAAAAAATCGTCCTGATACTGCAGCATCCGGATATCTGGCGTCCGGATATCTGAAGGTCCACTGTATATAATTTCTCAAGGACACCATAAAAGATTTGCATGGTTTATATTAAGTAATAAAACTTTAAAGGTTTAAAACTTTTGAAGGTGTGTTGAGTGTACAGGGATTTACTGCTATTTTGTTTTACTACCGTTTTTTATGTAAAGGGGAAAAATGAGAGAAAGATAATTCTTTCTTGTCGTAAAATTTTTAAATAAATGAATATGTTTTTACCAAAATAAGATAACAGGAACACTTTATTTAATTTTTTTCTTCACAAATCAATTCTGTTTTTATGTTTCACTACTAACATTGTATTTGTTGTTAAGAAGTGATTTAGCTTTACTTTTCTTAACTCTGTGTTTGACAGCATGGACATGGCACAATTCAATATCAAATCTTGAATAATTACTCTCTCTTTTAAAAGCGTTTGAATGTAGGATGGTGAAAAAGAATTAAAACTACGATGACTATCATCGGAGAATTTTCTATCTGAAAAAGGGGAATTTTTCAAGGGTAAAATCTTTAAAAAAAATATAAGTCAGAAACTGTAATTAAAATTATGAATAACTTTAAATCGTCCACTGTATTATGTTATGAATCATGGCAACCAATCAGCTGCTTGTTAAACATTTTTTTTTTAAAAAATGCTAAGAGTCGCTGGAAATGAGTGAGGAAGGATTAGCTAGTGGAGAAGGCTTTTTAATATTGATTTGTTGTGAATGGTGAATGGATCACCTTGAAATCCTGACTATAGGTCATCAATAGTAATTTTGTAGATTGATCAGGCTATATGTGCTAGTTAAAGAGCAAGCTAATACTCATGCAGGGACTTTTTTGGCTCTGTAAAATTGTAAAAAACTCAAAAATGCTTATTATTAAGTTGACAGAGCAATTTTGTTAAAAATTAACTTCAAAATGCAGCAAATTTCCTGAAAATGAACATATTGCTGTAATAGAACACCATACGGTGATATTAATTTTCTCAAACAATAAGTAGGTGTTGAATGAAATTGTAAAAATGAATTAATCTAAACCGCAGTTAGTGCTACAACAGTGCAGCATTGTTCTACAGATTTTTCATTCTGACGGAAATCTAGTCATCATCATGATTTGTCAGGCTGGCTCTGCATTAAGTTAATTAATTAATTAACCGCCCTGATTTTAGGATGTATGAACTTCCTCTACTATCTCTACATAAAACTCCCTGTCCCTTCTGCATCATTGATATCAATTCTTGGGATTCATTAATATAGACGCAAACATTGGTGCAGCTAAAAAGCAGCAGAGGGAAAAATTTCCCATAGAAAACAGAAGGTTTTGTGATGTCATACCAAAAATAATTGGATTACTACATTGCTGGCAGTTGATTAAAAAAAGAAAGGTTTTTCAGTGGATTTTCCTTTTAGGGAACTTGTGGTGTAATTCTCCATGTTATTTTGGGATATTTGAAGATAACAAAATAGGATTGTTTACAAAGAGTGTTTGGCCCAAAGACATAGACGAGTCTTGTTATGTTATTTTGGCTGGAATTTTGGCTTCTTGAAGCAAACTAAGGAGTATCTTAGATCAGATTTCAATGCATTTAATAGATTTCTATGAAGTGATTTTACGTTTCAAAACTTGGGATCCATCATTATAAACATTGTTGCTGGGGCTATTTTTGGACCTTAGTTCAAAGCTGTGATTTGTGAGTGTTATGTTTGATTTTAGTTAAGAGTGATCAGAGGATATTTTCTGTGGATAATTGTTAAAATAATTTTAATCAGGTTTTAATGCATGCAGCTTTCATCAGGATATTAAGTTTTTTTTTCTTTAAGTGTTTGGGAAAAACATTTCTGTTCTAGAAGTCAAATTGGAGAATTGAAACATGTGACATAACAAAAAAGCATATGGTACAAAAACAGATAACATCAAACTTTGTCCCGAACAATGTAGATACAATTTCATGCCACCTTAAGTTGGAGTGATACTTTCCTCTTAACGCAGCCTCATCTAAGTCTAAGAAATCCCAAATCTTTGGAGACATAACCAACTATGTCAAAATTTATTAAAAAGAGTTAATTACGAATTAGGACCCTAGGACTGTGACAGTTGTTGATGTTATTTATTGAATTGTTGAAATAAAATAAGACAAATTGTATGGCTAGGAGCAAGAAGATGAAGGGATTACCAACCAGTGATATAATACCAGGGTACCCCACCAAGGGATATATTCTACATGGTGGGTATATTAGTATGTGCATGTCATAGTTTCTTGCAAATAAATTCTATAATTGTCTAAAGTAATGCCTTGATAGATCTGTTTAGACATTCATACACAGTGGGAAAGGCTTTTTTACTCACTGAATTGTCTATATGGAATACATGTATTCTGTTTGCCTGATCATCACAATTAGGTGCATGGCAAATGTGACTGGTCAAATGAGGATGCTTACTCCTCCATGGCACATGATCCCACCCTTGATGTTTTTTGAGAACTGTCTTTACTCTGCTTGTATTGTAAATTTATTTAAATAGTAGACCTTTGAGCGTAATTACTGTCCATTTTCTCCATATTTCATTTAAACAAGTATACATTAGTTACGGTAATTAAATCATTCTTGTTTTGCAATTTGAATAAGAGAAAATTTTTTGCAACTTCTAAATGAATCATGTGACTCAGGTCTGTGAAATGGACATGTAAATATCAGCTTTGTGAGGTTGTTTTTGGAGGTAAGAACTGCAAGGACTCATCTGAAATTGATTTACATGTATTTAATTAATTGTGGATGTTTGAATAATATAGTAAATGAAATTAAATTGTACAATAAACAGGGGATCGAGTCTGTACAAAAGCACTCCTCCTCATCATAATGATATTGACTATAAGAGTACAAATGAAGGGGCGATTGTACTAAAGTGAGTGACAGCAGTTGA